TTAAACCCACCGTATGTTAAACCCACCGTGTATTAACCCCACGCGTGGTGGTAAACCCCACCGTGTGTTAAACCACCGGGTGTTAAACCCACCGTGTGTTAAAGCCCCCGTGTGTTCAACCCACCGTGAATTGAAACACACCATGTGTGTTAAACCCACCGTGTGTTCAAACCCACCGTGTGTTAACACACCGTGTGTTAAGCCCACCGTGTGTTAACCTACTGTGTAATTAAACCCACCGTGTGTTCAACCCACCGTGTGTTCAACCTACCGTGTGTTTCAACCCACCCGTGTGTTAAACCCACCGTGTGTTAAACCCACCGTGTGTTCAACCCACCGTGTGTTAAACCCACCGTGTGTTAAACCCACCGTGTGTTAAACCCACCGTGTGTTAAACCCACCGTGTGTTGAAACCCACCGTGTTGTAAACCCACCGTGTGTTAAACCGACCGTGTGTTAAACCCACCGTATGTTAAACCCACCGTGTGTTCAACCCACCGTGTGTTAAACCCACCGTGTGTTAAACCCACCGTGTGTTAAACCCACTGTGTGTTAAACCCACCGTGTGTTAAGCCCACCGTGTGTTCAACCCACGGTGTGTTCAACCCACCGTGTGTTCAACCCACCGTGTGTTCAACCTACCGTGTGTTCAACCCACCGTGTGTTCAACCCACCGTGTGTTCAACCCACCGTGTGTTCAACCCACCGTGTGTTAAACCCACCGTGTGTTCAACCCACCGTTTGTTAAACCCACCGTGTGTTAAACCCACCGTGTGTTAAACCCACCGTGTGTTAAACCCACCGTGTGTTAAACCCACCGTGTTGTAAACCCACCGTGTGTTAAACCGACCGTGTGTTAAACCCACCGTATGTTAAACCCACCGTGTGTTCAACCCACCGTGTGTTAAACCCACCGTGTGTTAAACCCACCGTGTGTTAAACCCACCGTGTGTTAAACCCACCGTGTGTTAAACCCACCGTGTGTTAAGCCCACCGTGTGTTCAACCCACCGTGTGTTCAACCCACCGTGTGTTCAACCCACCGTGTGTTCAACCTACCGTGTGTTCAACCCACCGTGTGTTCAACCCACCGTGTGTTCAACCCACCGTGTGTTCAACCCACCGTGTGTTAAACCCACCGTGTGTTCAACCCACCATGTGTTCAACCCACTGTGTATTCAACCCACCGTGTGTTCAACCCACCGTGTGTTAAACCCACCGTGTGTTCAACCCACCGTGTGTTCAACACACCGTGTGTTCAACCCACCGTGTCTTCAACCCACCGTGTGTTCAACCCACCGTGTCTTCAACCCACCGTGTGTTCAACCCACCGTGAGTTAAACCCACCGTGTGTTCAACCCACCGTGTGTTCAACACACCGTGTGTTCAACCCACCATGTGTTCAACCCACCGTGTGTTAAACCTACCGTGTGTTCAACCCACCGTGTGTTCAACTCACCGTGTGTTCAATCCACCATGTGTTAAACCTACCGTGTGTTCAACCCACCGTGTGTTCAACCCACCGTGTGTTCAACCCACCGTGTGTTCAACCCACCGTGTGTTCAACACACCGTGTGTTCAACCCACCGTGTGTTCAACCCACCGTATGCTAAACCTACCGTGTGTTCAACACACTGTGTGTTCAACCCATCGTGTGTTCAACACACCGTGTGTTCAACCCACCATGTGTTAAAACCACCGTGTGTTAAACCGACCATGTGTTAAACCCACCGTGTGTTAAACCCACCGTGTGTTAAACCCACCGTGTGTTAAACCCACCGTGTGTTCAACCCACCGTGTGTTAAACCCACCGTGTGTTAAACCCACCGTGTGTTCAACCCACCGTGTGTTAAACCCACCGTGTGTTCAAACCCATCGTGTGTTAAACCCACCGTGTGTTAAACCCACCGTGTGTTCAACCCACCGTGTGTTCAACCCACCTGTGTTCAACCCACCGTGTGTTCAATCCACCGTGTGTTCAACCCACCGTGTGGTAAACCTACCGTGTGTTCAACCCACCGTGTGTTCAACCCACCGTGTGTTCAACCCACCGTGTGTTGAACACACGATGGGTTTTGAGTCGGTCGGTGCTGCGTCTGAAGGGGCAGACGCAGCACAGACGCAGCAACGAGGTCAGCCGCAGCAGCAGAAGCAACAGACGGCAAGAGGGGGGAGGGAGAACACCCCTCAAAGACAGGGGTGCGGGGGTCACCACAAGAGGCTCCTACAGCGACTATGCTCTTCTCCGCCGCTAGGAGGGCCTTCTCGAGGAGGTCAACGGTGAGAGTGGTGGGGCACACTGCGAGGAAGTGGTCCCTGACTACGCGAAGGGAGTCAGGGAGTCGGGTGACTATGTAATACAGGGTGATGTACATGGGGGGGGGGGGTTCTTGGCGCAGAAGTCAGCAGGAAGCGCAGCGCGGTAGCGAGTGTCACTAGTGCGGAGGTGCGTAATGAGGTCAGCGACTGTGGGAAAGGCAGCAAGGTCAGGGAAGAGGTACGGTAGCATGAGACGGCTCAGTGCAGCAGTGGCAGGGGAGGAGTAGCGTGCAACTACAGCGTCGTACAAGGTCTGAGCACTCTTGTACTGACTAAAGTGCGCACGCTCGGAGGTAGGGAGGTGGCGACGCACAGCAAGACGTGCAGCAGCGTCGCGCGTGGCCCACTGGGAGCGAACATTGGCGTCAGCATCAGCAGCAGGGGCAGGAGAGGCGCCAGAGTTGAGGTCAAAGAGAGAGAGACCATCTGCCCTATCGGACTGTAAGAACAGCTGCAGGTCATCTACCCAGACGTCAAAGTCAATGGCTCGACCCTCAGCGTCAAAAGCGAGGACACTAGGGGTAGCCATGACCTTAGTATACTAGCAGTGCAAACAGTAGGGTGAGGGCAGTGCAGTGAAAAAGGCGCTGTACTTACCGGACGGGGCAGCTCGGGCGGCTCGGCAGTAGGGCGGCTCGGCGGCTCGGCTACTGGGAGGCTGGGCGGCTCGGTTGCAGTGCGGCTCGGCGGCCCGGTGGCTCGGCTGGACGGCGGCTCGGGTGCTGGGCGGCTCGGCTGCTCGGCTGCTGGGCAGCTCGGCGGCTCGGCTGTCCGGCCGCTCGGTTGCCCGGGCGGCTCGGGGGTGGTGATGCAGGGCGGCGCGGCGGTCGGCTGCTCGGCTGGGTGAGGTGGCTCGGGCAGCTCGGGTGGCGGGCGGCGCTGCAGCAGGGGACGGGGCCGCAGGTCAGGACGGCGGGGCCGGAAGTGAAAGCGGCTGGGCCGCAGGTGAGAGCGGCGGGGCCGCCGGTGAGAGCGGCGGGGCCGCAGGTGAGAGCGGCGGGGCCGCAGGTGAGAGCGGCGGGGCCGCAGGTGAGAGCGGCGGGGCCGCAGGTGAGAGTGGCGGGGCCGCAGGGAAGGGCGACTGGGCCGCAGTTGAGGGCGGCGGGCCGCAGTTGAGGGAGGCGGGGCCGCAGGTAAGGGCGGCGGGGCCGCAGGTGAGGGCGGTGGGGCCGCAGGTAATGGCGCCGGGGCCGCAGGTAAGGGCGACGGGCCGCAGGAAGGGCGGCGGGCCACAGGTGAGGGCGGCGGGGCCATTTTAAGGGACGGCGGGGCCGTGATAAGGGCGGCGACGGGCCGCTGCAAGGGCGGCGACGGGGCCGCTGGTGAAAGGGCGGCGGATCGGGGCCGCAAGGGCGGCTAATCGGGGCCGCGAGAGGCCGCTAGGGCGGCGCGACGCGGCCGTTAGGGCGGCGCGACGCGACCGTAAGGGCGGCGCAACGGGCCGCTAAGGGCGACGCGACGGGCCGCTAAGGGTGACACGACGGGGCCGCTAAGAAGGGCGCGACCCTAGGCGCGCTTCGAGCAGGGGCAGGACGCGCCCCGGGCAGGAAAAAAAAATCGGTGGGCCCTAGGAACAGTTCCCACGAGGGAACCTGCTCGATACCATGAGAAAATAAGAACGAGAATGAATGAACTATGAATGAAGTGGGTACAAGTACTAACCCTAATTGGGTTGTACCCCAATGGGATACCCCACTACAGCCTACACAAAAGCATAAGCTAGAATGTTCTGACAGTTTCGAGGGTTTCTCTTTCGCCGGGTCATGTGGCAGTGCTTGTCTGGTACTATTTCCAAGCCAGCAAGGGCGTGGGAGGGTTGCGAGCATCATCGGTCATCAGCGCTTGCTAATGAAGAGCACCCGCTGCATTTCCTGCACATGTGCGGATCCTTCCGCGTTTTGGGGGTGGGAGCGCTCGTTCCGAGCGTTTATATTCCGCCGGGTCATGTGGCTGCGCTTGTCTGGTCCTATTACGAAGCCAGCAAGGGCGTGGGAGGGTTGCGAGCATCATCGGTCATCGGCGCTCGCGAATGAAGAGCGCCCGCTGCACTTCCTGGACATATGTGGATCCTTCCACGTTTTGGGGGTAGGAGCGCTCGTTTCGAGCCTTTATCTTCCGCCAGATCACGTGGCTGCGCTTGTCTGGGCCTATTAGCAAGCCAACAAGGGCATGGGAGGGTTGCGAGAATCATTGGTCATCGGCGCTCGCTAATGAAGAGCGCCCGCTGCACTTCCTGCACATGTGCGGATCCTTCTGCGTTTTGGGGGTGAGAGCGCTCGTTTCGAGAGTTTTTCTTCCGCCGGATTATGTAGCTGCGCTTGTCTGGTCCTATTACCAAACCAGCAAGGCCATGGGAGGGTTGCGAGCATCATCGGTCATCGGCGCTCGCGAATGAATAGCGCCCGCTGCACTTCCTGCACATGTGCAGATCCTTCCGCGTTTTGGGGTTGGGAGCGCTCGTTTCGAGCGTTTCTCTTCTGCCGGCTCGCTTGGTTGCGCTTGTCTGGTCCTATTTGTCAAACATTATATATATTGTTGTAGTTGTTTAGGCTACAGTGGGTTAGCCTATAGGGGGTACACTTTTCTAGGTTTCCATATTTGTACTCATCTCATTCTTAGTCATTTCATTCCTTGTTCAACATGGTATAGAGCAGGTCCTTCCTAGGACCGTTTTTCCTAAGGGCCCACCACTACCTACCTGCCTATCTGCCTACCTGCCCTAGGGCGCCTCGGCGTTCACGCCTCTAGAGGCCCTGTAGGCCCCGCGCTGTTGCACCTAGAGGCCCCGAATCGGCCCCGCGCCTAACCCTAACGGCCCGCGCCGGCCCCGAGCTCGTCCCCTAGAGGCCCGCGTCGGCCCCGCGCCTACCCTAGAGGCCCGCGTCGGCCCCGAGCCTACCCCTAGAGGCCCGCGACGGCCCCGTCCTTACCCCTAGAGGCCCGCGACGGCCCCGTCCCTACCCCTAGAGGCCCGCGACGGCCCCGATCCTACCCCTAGAGGCCCGCGTCGGCCCCCGTCCTTACCCCTAGAGGCCCGCGTCGGCCCCGTCCCTACCCCTAACAGCCCGAGTCGGCCCCGTCCCTACCCCTAACAGCCCGCGTCGGCCCCGTCCCTACCCCTTTTGGCCTGCGTCGGCCCCGTCCCTTACCCCACCCGCTCCCCGCGCTCACCCTTAGCCGCCTCGAACGGCCCCACCTAGACCGCGCCGCCCGCACCGAACAGCCCGGCCCTAACGGAACCGAGCCGCCCGAACCGAGCCGCCTGACCCGAGCCGCGCCGCCCGACCCGAGCCGCCCGAACCGAGCCGCGCCGCCCGACCCGAGCCGCGCCGCCCTACCTATCCTGAGCCGCGCCGCCCTACCTGTACCGAGCCGCGCCGCCCTACCTACCCTACTGCTCCTACTGCTTTTACTACTGCTGCTACCATGGCTAGCCCTCCTGTGCTAGCCTTCGATGCTGAGGGCCGCCCAATGAAGTTCGACACCTGGCTTGATGACCTACACCTCTTCCTACAGCTCACTGCCAAGGAAGACATCTCGCTGTACGATCACGCCCTAGGCCACGCTACTGCTCCTGCTGCTACTGCCGACAGCACTGCTCGCTCATAGTGGCAGACTCATGACGCCCATGCTCACTTCGCTATTCGCAACTCTCTGCCGATAGATGAGCGCGAGCACTTTGGGCAGCACAAGACTGCACAGGCACTGTACACTGCTGTCGTTGCCCGCTACTCCTCACCGGCCTCTGCTGCTCTAGGCCGTCTCTCTCTTCCCTACCTGTTCCCCGACTTAGCTTCCTTTCACACTGTCGCTGACCTCATTACCCACCTCCGCACTAGTGAGGCTCGCTTCCGCGCCGCTATGCCTGATGAGTTCCTCGCCACGAACCCACCCCCGCTCTGGATCACTCTCTACCACCTAGTCACGCGCCTCCCTGACTCGCTGCGCTCAGTCAGGGACCACTTCCTCGCTCGCTGCCCCACCGAGCTCACCATTGCCCTCCTCGAGAAGGAACTCCTTACAGCCGAGACTAGCATAGTCGCTGTAGGTGCCTCTCGCGGTGACCCCCGCACCCCGTTCTTTGAGGGGTGTTCTCCCTCCCCCCTTCTTCCCTCTATCGCCTCTGCTGCTGCTGTCGACCTCCTTGGTGCTGAGAAGGTCGGGACTGCGTCTGCTTCGAGCGGACGCCGCAGCGGCAAGGGCAAGGGGGGCAAGGGCGGTGGTGGTGACAGCGGGGGTGGCGGTGGTGGGGGAGGTGGTGGCGGGGGGGGTGGCGCGGGTGGGGGAGGGGGCAGCGGTGGTGGGGGTGGCGGCAGCGGCGGGGGAGGTGGCCGGGGCGGAGGAGGTAGTGGGGGTGGCGGTGGACGAGGCGGCGGCAGGGGTTGGGGTGGTCGAGGAGGTGGTGGCGGGAGTGGTGGTCGTGGAGGCACTGGCGGTGGCCAGGGACAGCAGCACACTCCCTCGCCCCAGGAGGTCCGTGAGTGGTACTCTCAGCACGGGGGGGGGGGGGGGTGGCCTTAGCTGCACGTACGTCATTCGCACTGGTGACCGCACTGGCCAGCCGTGTGGGGGACTGCACGCCACACAGCGTTGCTTCGCTCGTCTGAGCGACGCTTGGCGTGTTCAGTTCCCTCAGGCCACTGAGCTGCCCCGCTGGCTTGATCTCCTGAAGAAGGGGATTGATATCTATGCTCTAGACTTTGATGCTATTCTCTCTGCCATGTATGTGATGTCTACTAGTGGAGAGGGTTCTGAGTACCTGAGTGTCCCGCCCGACCCGGGCATTAGGACGAGTGCGTCTGCTGCTCCAGGTACCCACTTGTCCGCTACCCCAGGTGCTGGTGAGGCTGCTGCTCTAGGTGCGTGCGTGTCTGCCCCCCCTGGTACGGTGTCGACTGCAGCACTGCACACCTTCACGCTAGATTCAGGTGCCTCTCGCTGTTTCTTTCGTGACCGCACTGCCCTTGAGCCCCTTGCTCGGCCAGTTGCTGTCTCCCTTGCTGACCCCTCTGGGGGTCCGGTCATTGCGACCTCCTCCACTGTCCTTCCCTGTCCTGCAGTCCCGTTGGGCACACTGTCAGGTCTCCACCTCCCCTCGTTCTCCACGAACTTGGTGGCAGGTTGTGCTCTCCAGGACAAGGGTGTTGACCAGTTCACCCCTGCCTACGAGCGTGTGACACACTGCACGTGTGCTTGTACGGGCCGCCACTTGGCTACCTTCACCCGGCAGCCGGGGTCGGACCTGTACACACTGACTACTGCCTCTCCTCAGGTCGCTGCGTCTGCGTCTGCGTTTGCGTCCGCGTCAGGTCAGCTGTCTGCCCCCTGCTCGTGTTGCTCTCTAGCGCACGAGACTGTCCTCTGGCACCACCGACTTGGCCACCCGTCTGTGCAGCGCCTTCGTGCCATGCACTCCCGGTACCTTGTCTCTGGTCTTCCCAGGGTCCTCCCTCCTCTCCCACCCTCGCCTGCTCCTCCCTGCCTTCCCTGTGTCGAGGGGCGGCAGTGAACCGCTCCTCACTCCTCCTCGTTTCCCCCGACGACTGCTCCTTTGCAGACGCTCCACATGGACGTGTGGGGCCCAGCCCGCGTCCGTGGTCAGGTTCAGGAGAGGTACTTCCTGATCGTTGTTGACGACTACTCGCGCTACACCACGGTCTTCCCCTTGCGCACCAAGGGTGAGGTCCCTGATGTTTTGATCCCTTGGATCCGCAGAGCTCGTCTCCAGCTCAGCGAGCGTTTCCGCTCGGACTTTCCTGTCCTGCGCTTGCACTCTGACAGAGGTGGTGAGTTCTCCTCCGACCTCTTGGCAGCCTACTGTGCTGAGCACGGCATTGAGCAGTCGTTCACGCTTCCGGCCTCTCCACAGCAGAATGGGGTTGCGGAGCGCCGCATTGGCCTGGTCATGGAGGTCGCTCGTACCTCCTTGATCCATGCGGCTGCCCCCCATTTTCTGTGGCCGTTTGCGGTCCGGTACGCTGCGCATCAGCTCAACCTCTGGCCCCGTGTCTCCTTGCCGGAGACCTCGCCCACACTGCTGTGGACGGGGGAGGTTGGCGATGCGTCGCGTTTCCGGGTCTGGGGATCTCGAGCTTTTGTTCGCGATTCGTCTGCGGACAAGCTCTCCTCTCGTGCTGTTCCCTGCGTCTTCCTCGGCTTTGTCCCGGACGCGCCTGGTTGGCAGTTTTACCACGCCACCTCGCGCCGGGTCTTGCCCTCTCAGGACGTCACTTTTGACGAGTCTGTCCCCTACTACCGCCTCTTCCCCTACCGCACTGCCCCGCTCCCACCCCCGCCTCTCTTCCTCGCGCCAGGTGCTGCTGTCATAGACCCCCTCCCCCCTCAGGGTGCCGCTCCCTCAGGTGTGTCTCAGGTAGACCCGGTCGAGCCTGTTGAGGTTGCTGTCGACTCTCGTCCTGCTGGGGGTGCTGAGCCTGGGGGTGCGGACGCTGGGGGTGCTGAGCCTGGGGGTGCGGACTCTGGGGGTGCTGAGCCTGGGGGTGCGGACACTGGGGGTGCTGAGCCTGGGGGTGCTGTGCCTGGGGGTGCTGAGCCTGGGGGTGCGGTGACTGGGGGTGCTGAGCCTGGGGGTGCTGGGTCTGAGAGTTCTGACTCTGGCGGTGCTGGGCCAGGGGGTCCTACGCCTGGACGAGACCTCTCCTCGAAGCAGTTGCGTGAGTGGTACTTACAGTACTGCAGCCTCCGGAGAGGTACCTCTGGGACCAGGCGCGCTACTGAGACTGGTGCTGGTACTTCTCCTTCTAGTCGGGAGCTCCCCTCTCGTGAGCGGATCCGTGAGTGGTACGAGCGCCGTTGCACACTTCGTAGTGGCGCGCCTCGTCTCACGGACCCTGCTGCTGCTGGTGCTGCGGACCCGGGCGTTGGAGCTGCTGCTGGTGCTGCGGACCCGGGCGTTGGAGCTGCTGCTGGTGCTGAGGACCCGGGCGTTGGAGCTGCTGCTGGTGCTGCGGACCCGGGCGTTGGAGCTGCTGCTGGTGCTGCGGACCCGGGCGTTGGAGCTGCTGCTGGTGCTGAGGACCCGGGCGTTGGAGCTGCTGCTGGTGCTGCGGACCCGGGCGTTGGAGCTGCTGCTGGTGCTGCGGACCCGGGCGTTGGAGCTGCTGCTGGTGCTGCGGACCCGGGCGTTGGAGCTGCTTCTGGTGCTGAGGACCCGGGTGTTGGAGCTGCGGCTGGTGCTGAGGACCCGGGCGTTGGAGCTGCGACTGGTGCTGAGGACCCTGGTGTTGGAGTTCCTCCTGGTGCTGCGGACTCGGGCGTTGGTACTGCCGCTGGGGGCACTGGTGCTGTCCCTGCTGTGTCTGGAGTCGCCGCGCGCCCTCAGCTGTACTTCGTTCCGCCCCTTCAGCAGGTTCTTGGTCTCTCGCCTCCTCCTGGTCCTCCCCCTCCTTTAGTGTGTCCACAGCCTGTCCAGTCACTGCCTGCTCCTTCTCCTTACTCTGGTCCTACTGACGGTCTTACTGAGCGTCGTGAGCCTGCGTCTCGCCCTGCGTCGCCTGTCCGTCCTGCTAGCACTAGTGCTCGTAGTTCGCGTCCGCGTCCTCCTCCTGTTCCTGGCACGCACCGGATGTCTCTGCGTCCGTCTACTGCTCCTCTGCGTGCTCCTTTGCCTTCTCCTCCTACGTCCTCTCTTCCTACTCTTGCCGACCCTGCGTCGGACTCTCTTCGTGCTGCCAGTCCTACTGTCACGCGTCTCCTTCCTACTGCCGTCACTGACCCTTCCTTCGAGTCTTCTGCTGCGTCTGCCCTAGTTGCTGAGCTCGTCGACTTTGCTGCTCGCTGTCGTCTAGACTACGCTGCTAGTCTTGTCGCTGAGTCTGAGTCTGTCTGTCCTCCGTCCGTCAGGGGTGCGTGTGCCCTTGGCACGGACGTCCTTGAGGACAGGCAGGAGGAGTTTCAGTGCTTGGCTGCCGCTTTACCTCATCTCGCGTCTGTACTGCTAGCCCCTGAGGGAGACCCGGATGCACTAGACATCCCGACTCCGCGCTCTTACGCGGAGGCGATAGAGGGTCCCTACTCCTCTCTGTGGCAGGCAGCTATGGATGCAGAGATGGCTTCCTGGAAGTCCACAGGCACCTACGTTGACGCTGTCCCCCCTCCTGGGGCGAACATCGTCAGTGGCATGTGGATCTTCAGGGTGAAGCGGCCGCCGGGTTCTCCGCCTGTCTTCAAGGCGCGTTACGTGGCTCGTGGCTTCAGTCAGCGGCAGGGAGTTGACTACTTTCAGACCTTCTCCCCCACCTCGAAGATGACCACTCTTCGGGTACTGCTGCACGTTGCTGCTCACCGGGACTACGAGCTTCACTCTCTCGACTTCAGCACAGCTTTCTTGCAGGGCAGCCTGCACGAGGAGATCTGGCTGCGTCGCCCACCTGGCTTCACTGGGTCTTTCCCTCCTGGTACCCAGTGGAGTCTCCAGCGTCCAGTCTACGGTCTCCGCCAGGCGCCGCGGGAGTGGCACGACACACTGAGGACTACGCTGGCGGCACTTGGGTTTGCTCCTTCTACTGCCGACCCGTCGCTGTTTCTCCGCACCGACACTTCTCTGCCGCCGTTCTACATCCTCGTGTACGTCGACGACTTGGTCTTTGCCACTGCTGACACTGCTGGACTCGCCTACGTGAAGTCCGAGCTGCAGAAGAGACACACGTGCACTGACCTGGGTGAACTGCGCAGCTACCTTGGCTTGCAGATCACCCGGGACAGAGCACGCCGCACCATTACCCTGACTCAGTCACACATGGTGCAGCAGGTCCTTCAGCGCTTCGGCTTCACGTACTCCTCGCCTCAGGCCACTCCTCTGTCTACTCGCCACTCGCTCTCAGCTCTGCCTTCGGATGAGTCCGTAGAGTCGAGTGGCCCGTACCCAGAGCTTGTTGGCTGTCTCATGTACCTGATGACCTGCACACGACCTGACCTTGCATACCCTCTTAGCATTCTTGCGCGCTATGTTGCTCCTGGGAGACACCGACCAGAGCACATGGCTGCAGCGAAGAGGGTGTTGCGCTACTTGTGCAGTACGTCGGGCATGGGACTAGTGCTTGGAGGGCGGAGTCCAGTGGTCCTCACTGGACACGCAGACGCTTCTTGGGCTGACGACCAGGCTACGCAGCGGTCGTCACAGGGTTACACCTTCAGCCTTGGTTCCGGCTCTGTTTCGTGGCGGGCTACTCGCTCGTCTTCTGTTCTCGGCTCCAGTTGTGAGGCTGAAATCTACGCAGGGGCCATGGCTGCTCAGGAGCTTCGCTGGCTCACCTACCTGCTGACCGACCTTGGAGAGCCGCCTCGTTCTCCTCCAGTCCTGTACGTCGACAACAAGGCCATGCTGGCCTTGTGTCGAGAGCAGAGACTGGAGCACAGAACAAAGCACATTGCTCTCCGTTACTTCCTTGCTCGTGAGCTACAGCAGCGTGGTCAGTTGCGACTTGCGTACGTGGCCTCTGAGGCCAACACTGCTGATGTTTTCACCAAGGCACTTCCGCCTTGTGATCATCAGCGCTGCTGTACCCAGTTGGGTCTTGTGTCTGTCTTGCCTCACTTGCTCTCCTCTTGACCCTCTTTGTACTGTTACATATATATATCACTGCTCTTGCTTGTTTAGTCTTGTCTATATATGTACTCCTGCATGTGAACTGGCCTTGTGGCCTTGAACTTGTGCTCGGATTGTGTGGTGACATTGTGATCCATCCTGAGCTTACTTTGCTTTGCTTGACTTGACTGGTCTTGTGACCCCTAGTTCTCCCCCACTTCGCCTATGGGGGTGTGTCAAACATTATATATATTGTTGTATTTGTTTAGGCTACAGTGGGTTAGCCTATAGGGGGTACACTTTTCTAGGTTTCCATATTTGTACTCATTTCATTCTTAGTCATTTCATTCCTTGTTCAACACTATTACCAAGCCAGCAAGGGCGTGGGAGGGTTGCGAGCATCATCGGTCATCGGCGCTCGCAAATGAAGAGGGTCCGCTGCACTTCCTGCACATGTGCCGTTATTCGCCCGCTACTGCTAACGGGGCTTCGCCAACTTCGTGCGCACTGTTTCGCCAAACCATGCACTGCTGGCCCAGCCGGGTCGGCCTACGCTTCGGGACTAGCCTGGACCTCCATGCAAGCGTAGCACTAGCTAGCTCGCACGCACCGCGTAACCGTTGCATGTTTCCGCACATAAGTATTCGCTCATGCCTTCTCTCATACTTTGTACTTTTGACCCACATAGTGCAATTTTTGCTACCTTGTTCAATTTGCACCCGTAACATAGGCAAACACATCTCAACATCTTAAGTGTAGGGTTTGTTTTAGTGTAGGGTTTCTCCTTTCGCCCAACCACTTTGTTTTCAATATAAGTACCACACTCAGACACTCTCAACTGCGCACAAACTCCGCCCTGCCTATGCGCTCTCCCACAACACACTCCCGCCACGCAACCACATGTCCCTTGCAACGAGGTAGCGACGGACACACCCTGTTCTCCACGAGAAATGCCGACGGGAGCGGCGTTTGCGGGAGAGATGGCGAATGGCGGAGCGGCAGAGCCGTCGGGTGATCGCAGCGCGCAGCACGACGGTGAGTACGCGGTGTGCAAAGTGGTGCGAGGGGTAGAAGGGTCGGTGAGAGCAGATGTGGGGGGGGCAGGACATGGCAGCATGTGCGCCGCTGATGGCCGGGGCTGCCTCTAGGCACGCGCGACGACGCGTGCTGCGGGTGGCGTGGACACCCGGCATGGCGCAGGTCAAGGCGATGCACGGGTAGACGCAGCGCTGGAGCGCGAGCAGAGTTGAGTGCAGCGGGAGCAGCGCGACGCTGGATGTGGCATCCCCTCCTTGCACGTTCCCCGCTCACTCCCGCATGGGCGTTGCTCTCCCCCGCATGGGCGTTGCGCTCCCCCGCATGGGCGTTGCTCTCCCCCGCATCGGCGTTGCGCTCCCCCGCATGGGCGTTGCTCTCCCCCGCATCGGCGTTGCGCTCCCCCGCATGGGCGTTGCGCTCCCCCGCATGGGCGTTGCGCTCCCCCGCATGGGCGTTGCGCTCCCCCTCGCATGTCATGCGTGGGCCTCTCCGTTTCGCCTCGCGCTTCTGCCGCGCCTGACCTGTGCCCCCTCGTTCGTCTCCTTGCTCCGTGTGCTGACGCATTGTGTGCTGCGCCCGTGTGTGCCGCGCCCGAGTGTGCCGCGCCCGCCCGTGTGTGCTGCGCCCGCATGTCCCGCGCCCGCCCGTGTGTGCTGCGCCCGCATGTCCCGCGCCCGCCCTTGTGTGCTGCAGGTGCGGAGGTGGCGCGGCTGGAGGGGGAAGTGGCGGCGCTGAAGAAGGAGATGGTCGTCAAGTGAGCGCCATGCCATGCAAGGGGGGGGGGGGGGTGGAGGGGGTGCACTGCACTGCACCCCCATGAGGGGTGCGCTGCACTGGTCCAGTATGGGGGTTGCAGCAGCATCGCAAAAACACAACAGATATCAATGTTTATCATGCCACATGCCACATGGCTCCCATCGGTCGGTTCATTGGTTCCTCCCTCTGCGCTCTTGCTCTGAATCCTACGCGTCCCCTGCCTCCCCCTCCCCGTGCATGCGCATGTGCATGTGCGTGCGCCACAGAGTGAAGCACTACGAGAACAAGCTGCTCACCCACTCCGTCATCAACGGCGCGCTTCAGGTCAGGCCGCCCCCCTCCACCCTCCCCCACCCCCTTTCATGTCACCTCACCCTCCTCCACCCTCCTCCACCCCCCTTCAGGTCACCTCACCCTCCCTCCACCCCCCGTGCTCGCCACTCCTGCCACGTGCCAAGCATTGTGCTATGTGCTGCATGCATTGTGCCATGTGCTGCGTGCATTGTGCCATGTGCTGCATGCATTGTGCCATGTGCTGCATGCATCGTGCCATGTGCTGCATGCATCGTGCCATGTGCTGCATGCATCGTGCCATGTGCTGCATGCATCGTGCCATGTGCTGCATGCATCGTGCCATGTGCTGCATGCATCGTGCCATGTGCTGCATGCATCGTGCCATGTGCTGCATGCATCGTGCCATGTGCTGCATGCATCGTGCCATGTGCTGCATGCATCGTGCCATGTGCTGCATGCATCGTGCCATGTGCTGCATGCATCGTGCCATGTGCTGCATGCATCGTGCCATGTGCTGCATGCATCGTGCCATGTGCTGCATGGATCGTGCCATGTGCTGCATGGATCGTGCCATGTGCAGCCATCCTCCTCCGCCATGTCTGCGCTCGCCTCGCCCGCTCACACCAATGCACCACCAACTCCAACTCTATCCGTGTGCCCCACCACCTCTTCTTGCTGCCCATTGCCCATCCGCCCTCCGTGTCTCTCAGCTTCCCGTCCCTTCCCCTGTCGCTCCCCTATCCCCCCACCACCCCCCTCCCCCTCGCCCCCTGGCGCTGGCCGTGGCAGGCGGAGAACGAGCGCCTCAAGGAGGACCTGCAGCGCGCACTGGAGGGCGCACAGGGGGGCGGGGGAGGGGGCGGGGGGGGCGCGGGGGGACGCACATTGGAGGAGGCGGAGCAGGAGCTGCGCGAGCTGCATGAGGAGTTCACCCGCCGCCTCAACGCCGCTGAGAAAAGCGTGAGTGCCATGCGGCTGAGAAGGGCGTGAGTGGCATTTGGCTGAGAAGGGCGTGAGTGACACTTGACTGAGAAGGGCGTGAGTGGCACTTGACTGAGAAGGGCGTGAGTGGCACTTGACTGAGAAGGGCGTGAATGGCACTTGACTGAGAAGGGCGTGAGTGGCACTTGACTGAGAAGGGCGTGAGTGACACTTGACTGAGAAGGGCGTGAGTGGCACTTGACTGAGAAGGGCGTGAGTGGCACTTGACTGAGAAGGGCGTGAGTGACACTTGACTGAGAAGGGCGTGAGTGGCACTTGACTGAGAAGGGCGTGAGTGGCACTTGACTGAGAAGGGCGTGAGTGGCACTTGACTGAGAAGGGCGTGAGTGGCACTTGACTGAGGAGGGCGTGAGTGGCACTTGACTGAGAAGAGCGTGAGTGGCACTTGACTGAGAAGGGCGTGAGTGGCACTTGACTGAGAAGGGCGTGAGTGGCACTTGACTGAGAAGGGCGTGAGTGGCACTTGACTGAGAAGGGCGTGAGTGGCACTTGACTGAGAAGGGCGTGAGTGACACTTGACTGAGAAGGGCGTGAGTGGCACTTGACTGAGAAGGGCGTGAGTGGCACTTGACTGAGAAGGACGCACAGCCCACAGAGCTGCTGCACAAGCACACATGAATGGCCTGGCGTGCCCCTCTGTCTGCGCACCCGTGACTCACCATCCGGGCAAACAGCTTCTCATTTGCCTTCCCGCGCCCGATGCTGCCCACCTGCATGCGTTCCCTCCTGGCTGTGCGTGTGGTGCTTGGTTGTGTGCGTGTGGTGTGCGTGTGGTGTGCGTGTGGTGTGTGGGGTGCATAATGTGCGTGTGGTGTGCGTGTGGTGTGTGGGGTGCATGGTGTGCGTGTGGTGTGCGTGTGGTGTGTGGGGTGCATGGTGTGCGTGTGGTGTGCGTGTGGTGTGTGGGGTGCATGGTGTGCGTGTGGTGTGCGTGTGGTGTGTGGGGTGCATGGTGTGCGTGTGGTGTGTGTGTGGTATGCGTGTGGTGTGTGGGGTGCATAATGTTAGATTATACTACTCTTCTGTATCCTGCATTGATCCTATAAACCCTAGGATAGAGATAGGCACCCAAACAATGTTTGGGTGCACAACTAGGGTTAACCCTAGGTGGGGGTTGGAACCCAACCTTGGCCCAATTATTGGACCCCAAGGTTGGGTTGGAGGATTATTGCCCCCCCCAATAATGTTGGCCCACTTTGACCAACATTATTGGGACCCCCCAATAATTCTCCAACCCAACTTATTGGTGGGGGCCAATAATGTTGGCTAGGTACCAACCCCCCCCCTTTCCTTAGCTCCAACTATGTTAGCCCTCATCATTCCTAATCAACTCATCGGTTCAATTCTCACACATAATGTGCGTGTGGTGTGCGTGTGGTGTGTGGGGTGCATGGTGTGCGTGTGGTGTGCGTGTGGTGTGCGTGTGGTGTGTGGGGTGCATGGTGTGCGTGTGGTGTGTGTGTGGTGTGTGTGGGGTGTGCGTGTGGGGTGCGTGTGGTGTGTGGGGTGCATGGTGTGCGTGTGGTGTGCGTGGGGTGTGCGTGGGGTGTGCGTGGGGTGTGTGGGCCCCGTGCAGGTGCATGCGTTCAGGGAGGAGTGTTTTGGGTTGAGGCGGCTGGTGGAGGAGCAGAGGCAGGCAGCAGCGAGGATGGAGGGGGAGATGGCGGAAAGGGACGCTCAGCTGCACCAGGTGGGAGCACCGCCCTCCCAACACAACACGGGCTCTGCTTGCCTTTCACTGCTCGCCTTGCCTTGGCATCGCTCATCAACCCTCTGCATCACTCATCATCCCTCTACTCACGTGTTGCGTGCTCCATGCTTTTTTGCTTCAGCCATCATGCCTGCCCTCATGCCTTCCTCTCCCCTCCTTCATCCCTTCCCCTTTCTCTCCACTGCACAACAACCATCCCCCTCTCCTACCCCTCCCCCCTTCCACTGGCACGGGCATCAGAGCGAGCGGGAGAGTGAGGCACTGCGGCAGGCGGTGGAGGAGAGGGAGGCGGTGGCGGCCAGGCAGCGGCAGGACCTGACACGCGTGGAGGCGGACAGAGACCGGCTGCTCGCCACAAAGCAGGTCATCTCCTCTTCCCTCTTTGAATTCCCCTGTCTACTTTCCTTCTGCAGCCTTCCTTGTGTCGTTCCACCCTTGTCTGGTCTCTCTACCGCCTATACGGCCGCCCACACAGCCCCTGTGCCATGCATGTGTGTGTCTGTGCTCCGCCGCTCTGCCCTGCTGCAGGCGCTGGAGGCGGCAGCCCAGAGCGCAGACGCCACCAGGTCCGCCCCCAACCTCATCCTCCTCGTCCCACATGAGCTCTCACCTCACACCCATCAACACATTATCTTCACTTCATCTCTCCTTAACGTGCCCATTCTCTGCACTGCAATCTCTCTCATCCCGTCCTTCTGTATCGATGTTTCTTTCTTACGTATTGTTTGTGCCTGGCCATGTCTGCTAGTGCATGTTTCAGTGCATACAGGCTTGCATAATTTTGTGTCTGTGTGCGTGCATGCATGTGTGCGTGCATGCATGTGTGCGTGCATGCATGTGTGCGTGCATGCATGTGTGCGTGCATGCATGTGTGCCCCCCTTTCTGGCTGTCTCTCCCCCCCCATCCGTGCGTGGCAGGTCGTCGCTGCTGGAGGAGGCCAACGAGGCGCTGGCAGCCACCAGGCAGGCGCTGCAGCACCACAAGGACCAGCTGCTGCGGGTGAGGCTCAGGTGCTCATGGTGAGCTCAGGTGCTCAGGTGCTCAGAGTGAGGCTCAGGTGCTCAAGGTGAGGTTCAGGTGCTCTGCTCTGTTGGGTGGTCTGCTTTGGTTGGATGCGCCCGTGCCTGCTGTCTCTTAATGCCTCTGCTGCCCCGCACTGCCTCTGCTGCCTCTCACTGCATACTGCCTCTACTACTGTGACCCTGTGTGGGGTGGAGGGCAGGTGGTGGCAGAGGGAGCGCAGGAGAGGGCAGCAGCGGTGGAGGCGGTGAGGGAGGAGATGCGGCAGCAGCGGGCGGCACTCGAGGCACAGGCGGCTGACAAGGAGAGCCACCTCACAGCTGCTCTCACTGCCCTCGCCCAGGTGCCCCCCTTACTCCCCTCCACGCCTTGCCTCACTCGTGTCTTCTGGTGTCGTCTGCCATGCCGTGTTTCCTTTCCTTTCCTTTCATGCCAGTCATGCTCCTTGTGTCAAGTGTCTTTTTCATTCATGTTTCTATCTTGGTCCTCATATCTTGGTCCTCATATCTTGGTCCTCATATCTTGGTCCTCATATCTTGGTCCTCATATCTTGGTCCTCATATCTTGGTCCTCATATCTGTTCCTCGTAGCAAAGATGTGTTGTGGAATCTGCAGTACTCTCAGCACGCATGTGTCCTTCCATTGGGCAGAGGGCAACGGAGGCAGAGAGGGAGGCAGTGCAGCGAGAAGAGAAGCTGATGCAAGAGGTATGCTGGTCGCTGGTGCAAGAGGTATGCTGGTCGCTGGTGCAAGAGGTATGCTGGTCGCTGGTGCAAGAGGTATGCTGGTCGCTGGTGCAAGAGGTATGCTGGTCGCTGATGCAAGGCACATGGGAGACGCGTGTATGTGAGAGACCTGGCACATTCTGAGTATGTCTCAAGGAGGCAGTAGGAGGGTGTGTGTAGTGCAAGTAACCCGGAACGCTCTGTGACACCCACCATGTGCTATGTAGGAACGTGCACATCTGTGCATGCAACCGTGCCAAGCAGCTGCTCGTCTCACAGTCGCTCTGAAGGTCGCTGTGAGGGTTGCTGTGGAGCCGCGCTGGTGTTTTCTCTCATGCTTTGTGGCGCCTCCAGCCACTCATCTCCTCCCTCTCGCCCTGCCCTCCCCCTCTGCCATCAGATAGCGGCTCTCAAGAATCGGTGCCAGCTGGCGGAGACAGCTCATGGTGACGTCAGCACGCACATCACAGCAGCAACTCAACCTCTTTTGAGGCAGGCAAGTTTCCTGTCACAGTCACTGTCAGTCACAGTCTCAGTCACAGTCATTCTCAATCAGTCGCAGTCACAGTCAGCCACAGTCACGGGCACAGTTTCTTTCAACCACGTCCCTCTCTCCCGCTCTCTCATGGCTTCCTAACCGTCTCCCTGTGTGTCGTTCCGCCCTGCTTTCCCTGCTTCCCTCGTGTCCGCATCAGATGGAGGGCATGGTGGCGCAGGTGAGGCGGATGGAGCAGGAGGAGGAGCAGCGCGAGCGCGTGCACCAGGAGCAGCAGCAGCAGTGGGAGCAGCGGTGGCGCCACGCAGAGGAGGGGCGCAGGAGGGCGGAGGAGAGGGCGGGGCAGGCGGAGAGGGGGGCAGGTGAGGCAGCGAGGGGACGGGAGGAGGCAGAGAGGCAGGCGCAGGCTGCAGTGAAGCGACTGCAGGAGTTGCAGCAGCAGCAAGAGGTGGGTGGGGGGGACCCGCCCATGGGTCAACAAAGAGGGTTGCTGTGAGCGTGCCGGCCCCTTGCCGCCATCTTCTTGCATCACACCCACCCGCCTGTGTGCCATTCAGCTGAGCCCAATTTACCCTCCTCCACCCACCTCTTCTCACCTCCCTCCCTCTCCTCCCCTCCCCCCCCCCCCCACGGCCCTGCATGCGGGCAGGAACTGCGGGAGGCGGCGCAGGCGGCGGGGGAGAGGGAGGGCATCGCGGAGCATGCGAGGGCGGAGGCAGCAGCAGCGCTGCAGGCGGCACGTGAGGCGAGAGACGAGGCTCTCAGACGCATTCGGGACATGGAGCGGGCAGGGCGGGGGCGAGGAGCAGAGGGCGATGATAGGGTTGGGGAAGGGGGGCGAGAGGGCAAGGGTAGTGGCGGGAGCAAGGGGCAGCAGCAGCAGCAAGAAGGGGCTGAGATGCCGGTAAGTCGATGGAACCAAACGCCCCAATATGGAGACCTATTTTCTCCTGCTATGCCCATCCGATGGCCTTAACTCATCACCGCACCTCTGCTGCTCTTGCTTCATCCAAAGTTGCATCCCCCTCTCCCCCCGTGTCTGGTGCGCCCCCCTTCCTCCCAGGCCGTGCCCCTCGCAGCAGCAGCAGCGCCCCACAACACAGCCGTGGCAGCATCGCCTGCCCCCTCGTCCCCAACCCCGCTGCCACCCCTCTCGGCCCTCTCCCTCTCGCACTCCCCTCGCCCACCCAGCCCCCAGGGCAGCAGTGCAGGCAGCAGCGGGCGGGCGGCACGGGGGGATGAGGGGCTGACGGGCAACAGCAGGCCAGGCGGTGGGGGGGGGAGTGCTAGGGGTGGGACGGGGGAGGGCAGTGCGGTAGGCGTGGGAGGGGCGAAGGCGGGGGAGGGGGTGGGAGGCGGTGCGGTGCGGCTGGGCGACCTGGACGTGGGGGGGTGGGGCATGGCAGCGGGCGGGGTGGGCTTGGAGCGACTGCGCGCCAAAGTCAGGTGGGTGCTGTGTGCTGGGCTGGGCTTCCTTCCCTCTCCCTCTTCCTCGCCGCCTCTCACGCCCTCTCTGCCTCCTGCCTTGTCTCTCAAGAGTTGTTTTCGGTTCTACACCTGTGCTTTCACCTGGGCTGCTGCCTTCGCACTGCAGCATGGTAGAAGCATGAAGGGCGAGCGTAGGGTGAATGGGGTGTTATAGTCAAGAGTCCACTTAGAGGTCGCGGATGCCCATGAAACCGCCTAAGCAGAATCTGACGTCTTCAAACCGCCTCTGTTCAAAACGCCGTCACGATCAGCTCCGATAACACATGAGGCTGAAACTTGGACAGCAGTTAGCCTTAGGTGTCTGCTTTCCAACGGTGTATTGCTTGTTTTCACCAGAGGTGTATGCGCTACGCTGTGAACGAAAAAAAGTAAGCTCGGCTGAAAAACGTGTATTTCATTGATGCAAAGAAGAGGTGAGTACAACATTGCCTAGGGGACTCATAAGGGGTTAGGTCATCCTAGGAACTCAGAGAAGGTTGAGTCCTAGGGGAGAAAGGCTAGAGAAGAATGGAAAACCTTCTAGCTAGGTCAGCAAAGCCAATCACACTTGGATGTTCAGAGCTGTACTCAAGGCTACCAATAGTGAGTCAAGCCAACATGAGCCAGCTTGTCTTCCCACTTGCACCCTCTTGCAAGCTGCTTCCAGGAAGACCATACTTCTCAAAAAGAGGGTGGTAGAGTCCCACTTGACCACCTGTACTTCTTGTCTCATTCTCTGTCTCTGCACAATTGGCATGACAACAATGAAAGGGTGGCAAGAGAAATGCTGCCAACAGTGTACCATGACTACGGAACAGTGACTTTCGACATCTGTCACGCAATGCTCCGATGTTGGATCGTTCTGAAACTTGGTGACCACCTCCACAACGGGGCAAAGGACTGCAGGTTCGAATTGCAGACCAATCAGAGCTCCGTAGACGAGTCAGCAGCCGAAATGGTGAACTCGGGTGTTACAAAAAAAAGAGTAACACACACTTCCGGGATGCCATAAGTCTTGAAACATAAAATGTTGTCATGCCTTGGTAACTGCTTCAAAAACTCTGAAACTTAGAGGGTTTGAAGAACACATGTTGAACAACCTCCCCAGAAAATTCCAAAAGCTGAACAGGCAGGCCGAATGGGAGTGTGATGACCGTGCCACTGTAATGTGTTGGCACAACAAACTCCCCCTCATCGTGCGCTCATTCATCCCTTAGCTGCTCCCTGAAATTGCCTCCCCTAGTTGAAGGACATGCCATACAAGGTGGCACAGGTCCAATGCTGATGCTCTGCAAGCCGCTTGGTCAAGAAATCTGCAGGTTGCTTGGTAGTGTTGATGTAGTGCAAGGAGACCGTGCTCTTCTTCACCTCTTTCCTCACCCAATGCCATTTGATATGCATGTGCTTGTTCAGCCCATGGAGCACAGCATTGCGAGCCATTGCAATTGCTCCTTGGCTTTCACAAAATACAGGTGTAGGACCTTCTTGCTCCTGCCCCAACTCCTCAAGCAACTTCCTCATCCAAACCACCTCCTTCACCCCATGAAACAACGCCATGTACTCGCTCTCCGTTAATGAGTGAGCTATCTCCACTTGCTTCTTAGACTTCCAATTCACTGGACTCCCTCCAACACAGCATACATAGCCACCATGGGATGTTGCATCACTAATGTCACTTGCCCAGGTAGCATCGGTGAAGCACGATAGATACAAGTGTCCACGCCTTGCAGGTGCACCGGTTTTCGTGCTCACCTCCTCCACTCCCTTTTGCTTCAGCTGCCCATGCACTGAATATTGCAGCCCCACCCATAAGGTTGCCATGCAGTACCTCACCAGCCTCTCTGTTGCATCAAGGTGCTCTTGAAGGGGCCTAAACACCACACGAGTTAGCTGCGAAACCGCGAATGAAATATCGGAGCGAGTGTTGACCGAAGCATACATCAAGCTCCCCACCATTGACTAGAATCGACGCTGCAACTCGGGCTCCAACACCTCACCCTCCTCTTCATCAAAGTGTAGCTAAAACCGTGAGGGTAGAGGAGTCTTCACACCCCTCCTTTCCTCCAGCCCATACCTCTCCCTCATGGCTGCAAGGTACTTGAGTTGGTGAAGCCTCAACCATCCTTTCACCTCGTCCCGTTACACGTGAAGACCAAGTTAATACCCCAACGGTCCAAGGGCCTTGCATTGAAAGGTCTCCTTCAGCTTCCCTTGCACCTCCTTGATCCTCTCTAGAGATGGAGAGAAGAAGAGAATGTCATCGACATAGACAAGGAGAAACACCTTCTCCTCCTCCCCCTCGGTTATGAAGAGACTCTCGTCGCACCCGCTGATTTTGAAGCCAAGAGCCTCCAACGCTTCCATCAGCCTTGCATACCGGCACATTGGAGCTTGTTTGAGGCCATAGATGGCCTTGTTGAGCCTGCAAACACGTCCGCTCCCATCGTCGTACCCCTCTGGCTGCTTCATGTAGATGTCCTCATCTACCACGCCATAGAGGAAAACCGTCTTCACATCCATTTGCTCCACCTTCCAACCACAAACGGCAGCTGCTGCTAGCAACACCCGGAGCGTAGGAGCCTTGGCAACAGGAGCAAACACCTCCTTAAAGTCAACCCCCTCCCTTTGCTGGAAGCCCTTGATCAAAGGTCTTGTTTTGCGCCTTTCCAACTTCCCCTCCGCATCGGTTTTCACACGTAATATCCACGTGCAATCCAATGCCTTTCTTCTTGGGGGCAGATTAGTGAGGGTCCATGTTCCATTCTCCATGAGGCCCTGAAACTCATCCTCTCTTGAAGCCAACGAAGCCTCTCGATCATCTCTAGCAAGTCCTTCCTCCATTGAAACCGGTTCATGAGGTAAGTTGACACCGAAGCAATAAATCTGCTCCATCTCTCCCTCGGCTCCCTTCTCCTCATCTTCCTCTTCCTGGACCAGCAATGCATTGAGACCCCCAAGCCTTTCATACTTGAGGAAATCCTTTGGGTGAGCAGCTCTCTTGGGCCTCTCCTTGGCTGCACCCTACTTAGCTCCACCGCGGAGAGCACCACGCTTCCCCTGGGTTGTCCGCCTTGGTGGAAGTGAAGGGGATGGTGTAGGCTGCTGCACCTCCTCCCCGGCAGCACCTCTCTCAGCTACAGGGGCCGCCTCTTGCTGCAACACTCCCTCCACCTCCGCTGCCTCCCCTTCAGCACCTCCCAATTCATGTGACACCTCCGTTACCTCTGAAAATGAAGACAACTCGATGGGAATGAGGAGTGGGTCATTCGTTCCCACTTCTATTCCGAGCGGAATGGTGACCTTGCTCCTCCCTCGCTCCAACCACTCCTTGAACATGAGCCCCTCCATGAACTTGGCATCTCTGGTGGTGAAGATGGTGTTGGCTTTTGGGTCTCACATGAGCCACCCATTGCTCTCTTGTGCAAGTCCCAAATGAACAGCCCACGCCGCCGCCGCTTGAAGCTTGTCACGCTTCTCCTTAGGGACGTGCACGAGTCTCATGCACCCGAAGACTCGAAGCATATCCACCAGAGGCTTCTTGCCTCTCCATTTCTCCATAGGGACCCAATGCTGCCCTCCCACATGAGTCAATACTCGGTTCTTGATGACGGTAGCATGGCGAATAGCAAAGAGCCAGAACCGTAAGGGTAGACCCGAGTCTACCAACATCGTTCTCCCGCCCTCCAAGATGGTCCGGTTCGCTCTTTCTGCCACGCCATTGGATTGAGAGGTGTAGGTCGTGGTGAGCTGCTGCTTGATGCCGTGCCGCTTCAGCCAGCTCCGGAACTTCGCTCCCAAGAACTCCCCACCACGGTCGCTACGAATCGCCTTCACCCGCTTGCCGCTCTCTCGCTCCACCAAGGGCAGCCACTCTTCAATGATGATCCTTGCAGCATCACTTTTATTTGCAAGTGGAAAAGACCAGGTGAGTCTTGTGTTGTCATCCACCATGGTCATGGAATACATGGCCCCACCATCTCCTTTCACCTTCATGGGTCCCACGAGATCCACATGCACGAGCTCCATTGGGTCGCTCGACTTCCCCTCCACCGAATGGAAGGGAAACCGTGAAAACTTGCTGGTCAAGCAAGTCTCACAAGATCCCACCTCCTTGGGCTCCCTCTTTATCCTCAGCCCCTTGACTCTTTCCTCCTTAAACAGCTGCTGCAACTGAGGTAGCGCCACGTGGCCAAAGCGTTGGTGTGCGGTGAGCCAATCCGTCTCACCCCTGCTAGGAGTTACACTTGGTAGCTCAGCCCCTCCATGCCCAAGGAGCCCACCATCACTATCATCACCACCTCCTCCATTGTCCACGTGGTTAACACGTCCTCCTCTCACACCTCCAGCAGCCAAGCGCGCAGCCGCCTCCTTCCATGGCAGCACCGGTATCTCCCACATGGACCGGTGCATGTCCTTGCCGCCTCGGAGGTCCCACAACACGCGCCCATCCAGAGTTGTCTTGAAAACCTTTGTGCCCAACATCTCCATCTTCATCCCTACCTCACTTAGGGCCTTGGTAGAGAGGAGGTTGGCACACAATCCAGGAACAAGGAGAACACGCTTCAGCCCCACAAGCCTCTCATCCGCACCCATGAACATGGCTCTCCCCTCGCTACGCACGGGTACAACTTGGCAGGTGACTGAAACGACGGTGGTTGTTTTTTATGGTCTAACTTCATCCAGTAGATCCTCTCGATTGGTCATGGTGATGAAGGCTCCCGTGTCGATGACGGTGAAGCGCTATCTTGCTGGCCGGCACAACCATGTCCTCGGGGCACGCCTCCCCTACATGGTAGAACATGCCGCCGTATCCGCCAGCACCTCCATCGCCTTCCTCACTGCCCATGCCTTCTCCCATAGCTCCATGAACACCCTTGGAGCCCTCAATTAATGGCTGACCAGGCCTCCAACCGTCAGGTAGCTTGCGGCACTTGAACCAACACTTGCCGCCACACCGCTTGCCTCCCTTGTTGACACGCTTCCCTCCCGAATGTTGCTCCCCTCCAGAGCCTTTCTTGGCCTTGCCTTTCTTGTTGCCACGCCCCTTGAAGCCCTTCATGCCGTAGGCTGAACCTCCGCCTTCACCGGCAGCGGCGGTCAGCTCCTTCCTCTGAAACTCCTCTTGAAGAACTTGCGCGCGAATCCACTCAAAGGACCATGAGTCCTTCATGCCATTAAACTTGACCACCAAGGGCCCCCACGACTCCGGCAGCAGGGAGAGAGCCTTGTAGCACTTGATTTTCTCAGGGTAGTCCATACCAGCAGCAGAGAGCTTCACATAGAGGTCCCTGAGTTGATCGAACGCTCCTTGTACGGCATCACCCTCGTTGATCTTCACCGCATGGAGTTGTCGCTCGAGCACCACCACCATAGCTTCGCTACTAGGGGCATTGACATCCTTCAATATCTTCCATGCCTTATGACCACACTCAACTTCCTTGATGAGATGCTTGATGTGGTGCAGCTGGTTGGATGAGAGGCATTAGGAGAGAAAAAATAATCCATCCCTGGACCGGCGATCCCATTCTTTGGTCGCTCCTTCGCTCGCAGGCCCTCTTCAATTCTCCATCCATCACTTCAAGCAGCCCATAATGGTTGAAGAGGAGCTCCATCCTGAAGCTCCATGATGCCCAATCCTCCCAAAAGAACTTCTCTAGGTTGAATGCCTTCACATCATCCTTAGCTGATGTTGAAACGAAAGCCATTGGTGCAGATCCGCCTGCGACGCCTCTTCCCGCTTCCCCAGCGCCTCTCACGCCACCACTGCCACTGGGACCAGCTGGAGCAGAACCTTCAGCCTCCATATTCACCCACGAACAGAGTAGAACAGCTTTGATACCACTTGTTATAGAACGCCTCTTCCCGCTTCCCCCGCCGCCTCTCACGCCCTCTCTGCCTCCTGCCTTGTCTCTCAAGAGTTGTTTTCGGTTCCACACCTGTGCTTTCAACTGGGCTGCTGCCTTCGCACTTCAGCATGGTAGAAGCATGAAGGGCGAGCGTAGGGTGAATGGGGTGTTATAGTCAAGAGTCCACTTTAAAGGTCGCGGATGCCCATGAAACCGCCTAAGCAAAATCTGACGTCTTCAACCCGCCTCTGTTCAAAACGCCGTCACGATCAGCTCCGATAACACATGAGGCTGAAACTTGGATAGAAGTTAGCCTTAGGTGTCTGCTTCCAACGGTGTATTGCTTGTTTTCACCAGAGGTGTATGCGTTACGCTGTGAACGAAAAAGTAAGCTCGGCTGAAAAACGTGTATTTCATTGATGCAAAGAAGAGGTGAGTACAACATTGCCTAGGGGACTCATAAGGGGTTAGGTCATCCTGGAAACTCAGAGAAAGTTGAGTCTTAGGGGAGAAAGGCTAGAGAAGGATGGGAAACGTCCTAGCTAGGTCAGCAAAGCCAACCACACTTGGATGTTCAGAGCTGTACTCAAGGCTACCAATAGTGAGTCAAGCCAACATGAGTCAGCTTGTCTTCCCACTTGCACCCTCTTGCAAGCTGCTTCCAGGAAGACCATACTTCTCAAAAAGAGGGTGGTAGAGTCCCACTTGACCACCTGTACTTCTTGTCTCATTCTCTGTCTCTGCACCATTGGCATGACAACAATGAAAGGGTGGCAAGAGAAATGCTGCCAACAGTGTACCATGACTACGGAACAGTGACTTTCGACATCTGTCACGCAATGCTCCGATGTTGGATCGTTCTGAAACTTGGTGACCACCTGCACAACGGGGCAAAGGACTGCAAGATCGAATTGCAGACCAATCAGAGCTCCGTAGACGAGTCAGTAGCCGAAATGGTGAACTCGGGTGTTAAAAAAAAAGAGTAACACACACTTCCGGGATGTCATAAGTCTTGAAACATAAAATGCTGTCATGCCTTGGTAACTGCTTCAAAAACTCTGAAACTTTGAGGGTTTGAAGATCACATGTTGAACAACCTCCCCACAAAATTCCAGAAGCTGAGCAAGCTTGTAGGCCGAATGGGAGTGCGATGACCGTGCCACTGTAATGTGTTGGCACAAGATGGGGGGATGGAGCCACAAGCATAGCAACCAAAGGCCCGTTTCACACACTTCACTGCTGCCCCCTTGCCTGCCCTGCCGACGGGGCTGCATGCAGTGCGTGCAGGGAAGCGCACCCTCGCTGTCGCCACTCAAGCATGATCCCGCACTGTCACATCCTAACCCCTCTCCCTTGGCCCCCAATTCCCTGGTGGGCGGGCAGGCAGCAGGAGGGGGAGGTGCGGCAGCTGCAGCGGGAGGTGCAGGAGGCGCGCGCAGCCAGGGACGCCACGGCGGACGAGTTGCTGCGCGTGTCCCAGCGCCTACTGGCGCTCGAGAAGGTGGGGGGAATGGGGGATGGGGGAGAGGGGCTGCGGAAGCGAGGGAAGTAGTGGGTGGTGGGGCAAAGTGCGTGAGTGTTGGATGGAAGTGGAGGGGCATTTGGTGGTGGTGCGTTGGAGGCATGCGGAGAGGGCTTGAGAAGGTTTGGGAAGCAGTGGGAACGCAAGCATTGCTGCTCCGCACCAGGACCATGCTCACAGCATTCCCTCTCTCCTCAACCCGTCCCTGTGCTCTCTCCCCTCCCCCCACCAGGAGCAAGTGGCGGTGCCGGCACTGGAAGCGGAGCTGGCGGGGTTGAGGGCGCGGCACGAGGTGGCGCTGGTGATGGTGGGCGAGCGCAACGAGCGCGTGGACGAACTCGAGGCCGACCTGGCGGATGTCAGGGCGCTCTACAAGGAGCAGGTCGCGCTGCTCGCCGGGCAGGTGTGTGGCAGCAGGCACAGAGGGGCGTGGTGTGAGGCACAGAGGGGCGTGGTGTGAGGCACAGAGGGGCGTGGCGGCAGGCACAGAGGGGCGTGGCGGCAGGCACAGAGGGGCGTGGTGTGAGGCACAGAGGGGCGTGGCGGCAGGCACAGAGGGGCGTGGTGTGAGGCACGGAGAGGCGTGGTGGTGCACGGGCAGGGGAGTGTGATGAGTGGGCGAGTGGAGGGGCACAAAGGCGGCAGTGCGGCCACACGGCAGTGCGGCCACACGGCAGTGGCTGGGGCATGCATGGCTGTTGCTGGGGCATGCATGGCTGTTGCTGGGGCATGCATGGCTGTTGCTGGGGCATGCATGGCTGTTGCTGGGGCATGCATGGCTGTTGCTGGGGCATGCATGGCTGTTGCTGGCTCGCACTGCCATCACAGCCACCCTCGTCTGCTGGCTCGCACTGCCATCACAGCCACCCTGTCTGCTGACAGCATTCGCAAGCTCCCTTTCTTGCAACACTTCTGTACCCTTGTCCAGCAATGCCCCCCCCCCCTGCCCTGTGCTTTGTGCCAATCCCACCGCCCGCCTCCCCACGCTGCCCTCTATGGCAGGTGGACCCAGCCAAGTGGCCACAGGGCTACCGCATCTGCCTCTTCTGCCCGCACTGCGCCAAGACCCAGCGCTCTCACCCCAAATAGCTTCCCCGTGGTGGTGTTTCATTCCTCGTTCTGGATGTTCCATGTTATGAAACAAATATATGATGCCTGTGGTGGTGCTGTGATGCAAGGGTCAATCAATGCAAAGGCTCATTCAAATAAACAGCACTGTGCCTTGATTTGGTTGTGCACACTCTGGAGAAACAAATAATGCATTGGCAACACGAGAACCTGTGACATGAGCGTCAACAATAGCAAGTGCGTTTTTTTTTCAGGGCTGCCAACAGCTGCGTGCACTGGGAGCTGCCCTTGTATCGTGCTGATGCTGTCGCTTCCCAATGGCACATGAGAGGCACATGAGAGGCACGCCGGCAGGGCGTTCTCTATCCACGCGCCGCTCTCCCCCTCACATGTCCTTCCTCTTCTTGCCCTTGCCCTTGCCCTTCCCCTTGCCCTTGTCCTGTGCACCACTCCACTCCCTCTTCCTCTCCTGCACCTCCACCTGCTTCTGTGCCCTCGCTGCTGCTGCCCTCGCCCTTCTGCTCAGCTCCGCCTTCCGTCCCACCCCCTCCTGCTGCTGCCCCCCACCCCCCTTACCCCCTCTGCCCGCGGGGCACTGCTGCTCTGTTTTTCCTTGCCCCCCCTTGGCCGGCTGCGGTACTGTCCGCCCCACACCCGACACCAGCTCCTCCCATGAAACCTCCTCCCCTGCTGCTCCTCCTCTGCCTCCCCCCACCTCCTCCTCTTCTCTCCCTTCGTCTGCCTCCCCTTCCTTCTCTGAATCCTCTGATCCCTCTGCACTTGCCTCTACCTCCTCTCCTTCCTCTCTCTCCTCTCCTTCCTCTCTCTCCTCTCCTTCCTCTACTTCCTCCCCCTCCTCCCGCTCCTCGCCCTCCTCATCCTCTTCTTCCTCCTCTTCCACTACTTCCTCCTCCTCCAACTCCTCCTCCTCCCCCTCCTCTCCTTCTCCCTCCCCCGCACCCTTCCGCTTCACCCGCCTGCCTGTCTTGCCCTGTCCCCGAGCGTCCTCCTCATCGAAAGCCAGGCCAGCATTGGTGGGAACGCGCATGTTCTGCTGCCGCCGCGCCACCTCGCGCAGCACCTCAGTCATCTTCTCCATCTGCTCACTCACCTGCCGCCGCTCCGCACTCTCCCCCTCCCCTGCCTCCCCCTCCGCCCCTACCCCATCCGCCCCCTCCGCATCATCCCCCCCCTCAGCGCCCTGCTTCCCCGCGGCCTTGCCCCCAGCGGCCTTGTGAGGGAGCGCGTCGGAGTCGGGCGGCGGGGTGAAGAAGGGGATCTTGCCGCGCTGCCAGTCGTGCAGCACCATCTTCGCCGCCGTCTGCACGTCCGGCTCCCCGCCCTGAGGGGGTGGCGGGAGGAACGGGGGGGAGGAGGGAGAGAGCAACATGGTAGAGGGAGGGAGTGGAACGGACGAGATTGAGGGAGGATAGTGGGGATGGAAAGGGGAGTGAGGCAGCAAGGGGTTTGCAGAGTTGATGCAATGTACGCTTTGCATCAGCTCCCATGTGTGGCCGTGTGTGTGTGGCCGCCTGTGTGTAACTGTGTGTGTGTGGCCATGTGTGTGTCGCCGTGTGTGTGTCGCCGTGTGTGGGTGGCTGTGATGCGGCTGAAGGAAGAAGAGGGAATGTTACACAACGGCAGACACAGTGACCCGCGGGTCTCACCTTGAGCAGCTTGCCAGTGCGCTTGGCCATCTGTGACAGGAAGTCCGTCGCATCCTCCCTGGTGGGGCATAGGGCACCGTGCATGGGGGGGGACATGGAGGAGTGGGGATACAGCAACGCGCAAGAAATGAGATGAGATTACAGTGAGGAGCAAGGGGGGTGGTGTTGGGCCTAAGAGGTGCATGGAGCAGCTGGCAGGCGCACACACAACGCAGCAGCATAAGGCAGGCAGGCAGGGGCAGCAGTGACAAAGAGGAGGGAGGGGGAGGAGCGAGGCAAGGCACGGACCATTTCTCAATGCCGTAGGCGCGGGTGAGGTAAGCGGGTTTGACGCGGGCGAGCACGTCGGGGATGTGCTGGTCGGCGTCCTCCAGGTTGGCCACCCTCACCACGCCCTTGAGCACGGCGTTGGTCTCGCTGTCCCGCGCGTCCGCGTACACCACGCCCGGGCAGTCGATGAGGAAGATGCGCTTCATCAGCGTTATGTACTGCCACACCTTCGTCTCCCCTGGCACTGGCGCCACCGAACACACCTGTGGGGGCGGGGTGACGGGTGGGGGGGGTGAAAGGGTGAGGAGCGGAGAGGGGTGTTTGGGTGAGGGGTGTTTGGGTGAGGGGTGTTTGGGTGAGGGGCGTTTGGGTGAGGGGTGTTTGGGTGAGGGGTGTTTGGGTGAGGGGCGTTTGGGTGAGGGGTGTTTGGGTGAGGGGCGTTTGGGTGAGGGGTGTTTGGGTGAGGGGCGTTTGGGTGAGGGGTGTTTGGGTGAGGGGCGTTTGGGTGAGGGGTGTTTGGGTGAGGGGTGTTTGGGTGAGGGGTGTTTGGGTGAGGGGCGTGCGGCCACAGGTTCACACAGGTTGGGGGATGCAGATGAAAAGGGCGAGGGATTGCGACAGGGGACGCGCTGATGAATGAGGTGAGGGAGGGGTTGATGGGCTTACCTTTGTGGTGCGCAGCGTGTTGATGACGGACGACTTGCCTTTTTGGTGCGCAGCGTGTTGATGACGGACGACTTGCCTTTTTGGTGCGCAGCGTGTTGATGACGGACGACTTGCCTTTTTGGTGCGCAGGGTGTTGATGACGGACGACTTGCCTTTTTGGTGCGCAGGGTGTTGATGACGGACGACTTGCCTTTTTGGTGCGCAGGGTGTTGATGACGGACGACTTGCCTTTTTGGTGCGCAGGGTGTTGATGACGGACGACTTGCCTTTTTGGTGCGCAGCGTGTTGATGACGGACGACTTGCCTTTTTGGTGCGCAGCGTGTTGATGACGGACGACTTGCCTTTTTGGTGCGCAGGGTGTTGATGACGGACGACTTGCCTTTTTGGTGCGCAGGGTGTTGATGACGGACGACTTGCCTTTTTGGTGCGCAGGGTGTTGATGACGGACGACTTGCCTTTTTGGTGCGCAGGGTGTTGATGACGGACGACTTGCCTTTTTGGTGCGCAGCGTGTTGATGACGGACGACTTGCCATTTTGGTGCGCAGCATGTTGATGACGGACGACTTGCCTTTTTGGTGCGCAGGGTGTTGATGACGGACGACTTGCCTTTTTGGTGCGCAGCGTGTTGATGACGGACGACTTGCCTTTTTGGTGCGCAGCATGTTGATGACGGACGACTTGCCTTTTTGGTGCGCAGCGTGTTGATGACGGACGACTTGCCGACGTTGGGGTAGCCGATGAACCCCACGCTGATGGCCTGCTTGTCGCTCTTCAGCCGCGCCACCTGCCGCAGCAGCGACAGCAGCGACCCCTGCAAGTGCCCACATGCACGCACAGATGGGGAGAGTCAAGTTTCACATGGTGCTTGTGCAGAGCATGATGAGGTGCACATGAGATACACGCAGGCAACGGGTGCAGCACAGCAAGGCAGCACCGATGCACTGCTCCACGCGGATAACGCCCTCCCACTCGCCCACCTAACCTCGCCTCAGAATACCTTGCCGAAGCGCAGGTGGCGGGGAGTAGTTACCTTGCCGAAGGGGTTGGTGATGGAGGCGTGGAAGGCGAGCGTGGGGTACTCGCGGGACAGCGCTCTGAGCCACCCCTTGGCCACCCACGACGGCACCAGGTCGCACTGCACAGGGCCGTGCAGCACAAGGGGGGCGGGGGGCACAGGTGGGGGAGAGGAAGGGGAGCGGGAGGGCAATGGATTGTGGCAGATGGCACGTGAGGGGGTGGGACACGGCATTGGCGGGGGGGCAGCGGGACAGCACCTCACACCACTCCACACACACGCACACGAGAGCCAATCGCAGGTTGAGGCGCAGTGGTGACCTGACGCACCTTGTTGAGCAGCAGCAGCAGGTGCTTGTGAGGGCACTTGTCGCGCAGGTGCCTCTCGAGGTACGTGCAGCGCGTGCCCATGGGGTCGCGCGCGTCCAGCACCTGCACCACCACGTCGCTCGAGTCCAGCACCTTAAACAGCTCGCCCCAGATGCGCCGGCTCTGCCCCTTGTCGAACATGCTGTGCCGCACCACCGCCCTCACCCCGTCCTCCGCGTCCTGCGCGCGCGTCACCGCCTCGCTGCCGCCCGCCTTGCCCTCAAACGACTCTGCGCGCCCCATGTGAGCGAGGGGAGGAAGGGGAGGAGGAGGGGGGTAGGGGAACGGGGAGAGTCGGTGAGCAGGGAAAAGGGGGAGAAGACAAGGGAGCAACAGCTATCAGCAATATCCAGCCCTAACCCCTGCCCCAAACTCCCCCTCCGCCCCCTCCCCCTACCCTACTTCTCCGCCCCCCCCCTTTCCCCTACCCTGTTTCTCCGCGCTGTGCTGCAGCAGCGACTCGTAGCCCTCGGCGGCGGCGCCCAGATTGGGGCGGCGGCGCTTGGCGCCCGGCCCGAACGTGTCCTGGAAAGGCTCCGTCTCCACTATGTGCACGCGCGCCTTGCCCTGGGGGGGGAGGGGGGAGTTGGGGGGGGGACGAGGGGGAAGGGGAAGGGGAGAAGAAGTGGGGCGAGACCGAGGGAGGGGAAGGGGCCGAGGGGGGCAAAGGGAAGAAAGTGGAATGTGTCAGGAGGAAAGGAGGAGCGAAGGTTTGAGCGGGAGGGGAGGGCAGGAAGGGAAGGGGGAGGGTGGCACCTGGGGTTGGTGGTTGAGGAGCGAGAGCGGCAGCGTGCGGTGCTTGAGCACGACGGTGTACGCGTCCGACACCTTGCTGCCCAGCTCCTCGCGAAACCGCTCCAGCTCGCGCTGCCCCACCACGCGCGTGTTGCCTGCGCCAACCCGTGCAAGGGTTTTGGGTTCGCAGGGGGGGTATATAGACGGAGTTAGGGCTACCACGCGGGTGAATGTTCGGTTCTGGGCAAGGAAATCGCTGTAAGGCTTGAATACCGCGCGCAAATCTAGGGTTTGAGGTTTCGGGTTTCCAGTTTTGAAGCACATAAGCGGAGCGCGGACAAACGAGGAGTTGCAAGTCACGACGCGTTACAGGGCACGTCAGCTTCAACCTGACTGCCCGCACGTAAATCCGTGAAACCGACTATTCGCCTTCAACAGTCACTCTGCAGCACTTCGCGCGCATCACACAGCTGACGTCAGCACGGCGAACGGATAGAGGAGGGCGGACGGTAGGGGGAAGGGAGAAAAGGGAGGGGCGCCAGGAGAGGTGCTGACCGAACCAGCGGCGGTCGGGTTTGATGCGCGTGTTGGGGAGCGCCTTGGACTGCAGGTCCGTATGCAGCACATGGCCCTTGCTGTTGCGCCACGGCCGCGTCTTGTACATCGCCAGCCGCCGCACCGTCGCCGCCGACCGCATCGACGACCCCGGCCCAGTCGACGACTTGCCCATGCCCTCGCGGCGCGTGGCGTCCATGGAGTGGCCCGGCTTGCCCTTATTGGGCGTCGTCTCCTTCTTCTTCGCCATCGCCTCGCGCGACCGCTCAACGCGTCGTTGCGGTGCGGTGGGAAGGTGAACACGATTGTAGGGCAATGGAGTGGTGCGGAGCGAATGGGAGAGCTTAGATCAAATGTATGGGGAGATGGGGAGACAACAAGGCAGGCGTGGTTTGGTTGGAGAAAGGGTGCGGGTGGGAGAGTGTTGTGCTTTTGTCTGTATATTCCGCGTTCGAGGAAGACTCGCGGCTAACATAGTGGATCCTACAGCTGCGGTTGAATGTCTGCGGAAAATTCTTGTGGGGTGCGCGTTCCTCGATATAGGGCAACTCTGACGGAACTATAGTTGCTTGGCTGGTGCAGCGCTAGCCTAGAACATCTTGCACTACATTGAGCAAAATCGCGAACCTCGATGTCGGGAATGCTTTGCGAAATCATGGCCATTGGTTTTCCCGTCGATTGCCCCTCACATTTCCTCTGCCGTCATTGGCGCACGTAACCGCACGTTATCTGCTCACTGCCCCATCCTCTGCCCGCAGCCACATCATTGGCCCATCCTGCCCCGTCAGCTGCCCCCCGTCCCCAACATCCCCAAGTCACCAATCCTTCCCGCACATTGGGATTTGGGATTGTTGCGGTTGACGCGAAGGAATGGTGCGAAACGGATAGCTTAGGAGTTATCGTCTCGTTTGTTCCTTGCATCCTTCGTCACCTCACACCGCCCGCTGCCACGCACCGTGTGATTGCGCACTTCCTTCCTCGGCGTATCGCGCCCAAATTCGTTGCCGTGGCCTCTCTCTTTTCGGCTGCTTTCCCGGTGCCCCGGGTATATCAGGACAGCACTACGCGTGCATATTCGCGGCTGCTGTGTCTTGCGCTGTTCCTTGCCGTGCACGCCTTGCCCATTCCGCTTTGAGACGAATCGAAATGGCGTCTCTCGCCGCGTCCAAGGCGCTACTCGCCAGACCATCCAGCGGCCTCGCGGCCCGCTGCGCGCCGATGTCTTCCTCACACTCGACGGCCGCCGCCGCGCGTCAGCTGGCGCTCGCCACCCCACAGCGCGTGTCAGTGCGATCGCAACGGCGGAGAGCGGCGGTGCGCGTGGCGGCCAAGGCTGTGGAGGAGGTGCAAGTGGAAGAGCAGGCTGCCGTGCCAGGTCAGTCGCGCTTCGTCAGCCGCTGTTCTCTCGTCACCGCAATTGGGCTGTACGGTGGAAAAGACGACATTTGGAAAGAATCGAAGATTAGCGAGTTGTTGCCAGATTCAGTTGCTGAATGACGTATATGATCTAGCTGCTGTTTTAGGTGTCGAGTCTGAATAGGTCAGGCCGCGCGGGCGTCCTGACTCAGCATGTGTTCTTCACGGGTCATCGACTTCCCTCATCGCAGCAACACATTTCTCTCCCCTTTCCCCTTGCCTACCGCTTGCTCGCCCGCCTGCTTGTCTTTTGCCTTTTCCTTCCATCTCTGGCGTCATTCCCTATCCTCCCGTCACGCCCCTTCCGCACGTGTTCCGCCGTCCCCCATGTCGCCCTTGCAGCGCCCTTCAACTTCGAGGCGTACATGTATGCCAAGGCCAAGGCCGTCAACGCGGCGCTGGACGCGGCGGTGCCGCTGCAGTACCCGGAGCGCATCCACGAGGCCATGCGCTACTCGCTGCTCGCCGGCGGCAAGCGCGTGCGCCCGTGCCTGTGCCTGGCGGCGTGCGAGCTGGTGGGCGGCAGCGACTCGGTGGCGATGGCGGCGGCGTGCGCGATGGAGATGATCCACACGATGTCGCTCATCCACGACGACCTGCCCTGCATGGACAACGACGACTTCCGCCGCGGCAAACCCACCAACCACAAGGTCCGCCGCTCCAATGCACACGCTCTCGGGCCGACCACACGGTCTCGTGCCGAGAGAGTTCGCTTACGGGAATTTAGGGAGAGGCGGGGGTTGGGAATAGGGGATTCTTACGGGATGGGGTTGGAAGTGGGAAATTCACCTCGGTCGAACGGAGTGGCTGAAAGGAAACCAGCCACGAAAGGGTCACCGTGCCAGCTTTCCCTTCGTCCAGCCGCCCTTTCTCTTCCATCATCTCGCGCCCTCACCGCCCCCGTGTTTCCCCCCTCTCTATCTCCCCTCCCTCCTTCTCCCCCCTTCCTCCGCCCGCCGCCAGGTGTACGGGGAGGACGTGGCGGTGCTGGCGGGCGACGCGCTGCTGTCGTTCGCCTTCGAGCACGTCGCGCGCGCCACGCCCGCGTCCGTGCCGGCGGAGCGCGTGGTGCGCGTGATCGCCGACATGGGCAAGGCCGTCGGCTCCGAGGGGCTCGTCGCGGGCCAGGTGCGCGCACAGGGGGCGGGGAGGGCGGGGAAAGGGGGAGAGGGAGGGGGTCGCGGGGGGGCGCGTGGATTGAAGTTTGAGATGGTGTGTTTGAAGTGCAATCGTCGCGGACTTTCCAGCGGCCCTACAAGCAGCGGCCCATTAAAATGGGTATAAAGGGTTGCAGAGTAAGGTTCCGCTTAGACGTCTGGCAGTAGAATCAAGTCAGACGCTTCCATGAACGGAGCAGAGGCTAAGGGAGGAGCGAGTGGAATTCGAGGCAAGAGTGTGAGATGGAACATAGGGGAATCAAGGTTGTCTTACCCCCATGCCCTCCCCTCCTGCTCCCCCCCTACCTTCCATCGCAACCGCCCTGATGCGCGCTTGGCAGATCGTGGATCTGGACAGCGAGAGCGACCCGTCCGTGGGCGTCGAGACGCTGGAGTACATCCACGTGCACAAGACCGCTTTTGAGTCGACTCAAAAGCCATCCCTCCCCCTTGTGCGCACGGCAGATCGTTGATTTGGAGAGTGCAACTAACCCCGTGGGCGTGGAGACGCTGGAGTACATCCACGTGCACAAGACGGCCGCGCTGCTCGAAGTGTCGGTGGTGGCGGGCGCCGTGCTGGGCGGCGCCAACGACGACCAGGTGGAGCGCCTCCGCAAGTACGCCCAGTTCGTTGGGCTCGGCTTCCAGGTGAGCCAGTTCGTTGGGCTCGGCTTCCAGGTGAGCCAGTTCGTTGGGCTCGGCTTCCAGGTGAGCCAGTTCGTTGGGCTCGGCTTCCAGGTGAGCCAGTTCGTTGGGCTCGGCTTCCAGGTGAGCCAGTTCGTTGGGCTCGGCTTCCAGGTGAGCCAGTTCGTTGGGCTCGGCTTCCAGGTGAGCCAGTTCGTTGGGCTCGGCTTCCAGGTGAGCCAGTTCGTTGGGCTCGGCTTCCAGGTGAGCCAGTTCGTTGGGCTCGGCTTCCAGGTGAGCCAGTTCGTTGGGCTCGGCTTCCAGGTGAGCCAGTTCGTTGGGCTCGGCTTCCAGGTGAGCCAGTTCGTTGGGCTCGGCTTCCAGGTGAGCCAGTTCGTTGGGCTCGGCTTCCAGGTGAGCCAGTTCGTTGGGCTCGGCTTCCAGGTGAGCCAGTTCGTTGGGCTCGGCTTCCAGGTGAGCCAGTTCGTTGGGCTCGGCTTCCAGGTGAGCCAGTTCGTTGGGCTCGGCTTCCAGGTGAGTCTCACACACTCACGCGGGGCTGCCTTGCAGGTCAGTCGCTCATGGGGGGCTTGACCTGCAAGTGGGGTGTTTCCCAAGTTACTCTTGCCATTTTTGCGAGGGGAGGAGAGTCCTGCGTTCAGATGGCAGTGGGTGAGCCTCATGTGGGATTCTGAATTGGGGGGGGTTGGGGTTGAGGCTGTTGCAGTGAGGCCAAGGAATGTGCGCATTGGCAATTGGATAGTATGAGTCTGACCAGGAGTTTGTCCTGCCATAGATAGCAGCACGCAGTATGGTGTGTGGCACACGTGCCACTGCATCCGCTTCGGAATTATGGAATCGTCATCTTCCCCATGCAATCAATCCCGCACATCTCATCGTCGGCCCCCCCAGCAACACTGGAGGCCCCCCAGCAATCCCCACCCTTCCCTCCTTTCCCCACCTTTTCCTCCACTCGTCTGCGCCGTGCGTGCGGGCGCGCCCAGGTGGTGGACGACATTCTGGACGTGACCAAGTCCACGGAGGAGCTCGGCAAGACGGCCGGCAAGGACCTCGCACAGGACAAAACCACCTACCCCAAGTGAGACAAAAATTCCCACCCCATGTGAGACAAAACTATCAAACTCAAGTGAGACAAAGCCAACCACCTTGAGACAAAATCACCAGCCCAAGTGGGGGAAAACCACCCACCTACACCAAGTGAGACGAAACCACCTACCCTATGTGGGACGTAACCACCTACCCTATGTGAGACGAAACCACCTACCCTATGTGGGACGAAACCACCTACCGTATGTGGGACGTAACCACCTACCCTATGTGGGACGTAACCACCTACCCTATGTGGGACGTAACCACCTACCCTATGTGGGACGTAACCACCTACCCTACATGAGCCAAAACCACCTATCCTAAGTGGGATGTAGTTACCTACCTAAGTGGGATGTAACCACTACCTAAGTGAGCCCTTGATAAGAACCTGGTGAGCCCACTTTTTTCGGGCGCATGCTTACTCCCTTGTTGCTGTCCTATTTTATGCAGAGTTTAGGCAAATGCTCTCTGTTGTCTTAGCCTGTCTAGGGTCCTCTCCAGCCCTCTACCCTGTCCCCTCCCCATCACTCCCCCATTCCCCACTCTGTCCCTCATCTCGCAAAGGTTACTGGGGCTGGAGAAGTCCAAGGAGCTGGCAGAGGAGCTGATTCGGAAGGCCAAGGAGCAGCTCAGCACATTCGACCAGCACAAGGCGGCTCCCCTCATCGGCCTTGCTGACTTCATTGCTTATCGTCAAAATTGACAAGCTAGGGAGGGTTAGGCGAACGATAAAATAAATTAGTTCACAGATTCTTTTAGGGGACGCTTCAAGTTTAGCTGTGAAACGGAAGGAGACTGAAGTTAATAATAGCAGTGAGTTGTGTAATATATCATGTTACTCGTCACCAATTGCGCCAGGTCGTCTTCGCGAGCTCGTCGATAACCTACCATCTCGAATATTGAGGAAAGGTTCCAAATATCTGGTTACCACACACACTTTACGAATTCGCGAGCACGAATCAACAAGTTCTCCGTGTCATTCCTACATCGTCATACAATCCCTTCTCGTATTTCAGCCCACATTCGTGCATTTCCACACTACGCCTAATTCCGTCCTCTGCGCATTGCCACGTGCACGGCACCGTTCCATCACTTACTTCAACGCTCCGCAAGCGACAGGCAGTCCGACGCGTCTGCGTGTGCGGAGCATGGCTCGCGTCGTGCCTTGCCCGCACACCGCCAACCGTGCTACTGCGTCTCCGCACTGCCCCGCGTCGCGCTCCTCAATCGCGCCGACATGGAACTCCACTCCGTCCGCCTTCTCGCCTTTCGCCACCGCGCTACGTCCCGCAGCCACGCTTCCGCGTTTGACGGCGAATTTGCAAAATCGCGCGCGTGTACCGCTTCGTACACAGCTAGCGAGGCGGCGTGCGCCGGTGGTGCGCGCGGCGGGGCAGGAGGGGGGAGAGAAGGACGAAGACAAGCCCAAGGCCGTCGGCACCCTGCCCGACGGCGAAGCCGGCAGTAAACCGCCCGAATCCTCCTCTCCGCCTCCTCCGCCGTCCGCTGCCCCGCCGTCATCCCCCGCGCCCGTGCAGCTGGACTCGTACGCGGTGGTGGCGCTGCTGGGGCCGGAGAAGGTCGACGCGGACGACGTGGCGCTGCTGCGCGCCAAGCTCTTCGGCTACTCCACCTTCTTCGTCACCGGCCAGGAGCCCTTTGGCGAGGCGGGCGAAGCCGTGTTGTTACAGGGTAACCTGCGCGGCCCCAAGGAGGAGGTGTTCGCGAAGCTGCGCGCGGGCATGCGGCTGCTGTTCGGCGCAAAGTACGAGCTGCTGATGGTGGAGGAGCCGCGCAAGCCGGGCGCGCCTCCCAGCGAGGGGGAGGGGAAGGAGGAGCGCGTGGCGATGGTGGTGGTGCGCGCGGAGCAGCTGCAGGGCCGCGCCACCTCCGCGTGGCAGTACGCGCTCGCCGCGCTGCTGCTCGCGCTCACCGGGGGCGCGTGCCTTGAACTGGGCCTCGCCAGCCAGGTGGGGGAGGGAGGGGGCTCGAAAGGGGGGGAGGGTTGGGGAAGAAGGAAAGGGAGAGGGGGAAAGAATTTGTGGATAATTGGGACTGGGAGGAAGAGAGAGGCGAAAGCGAGGGTCTTGAACAGCAGGAGGATGTAATGGAGGGGTTGGGAGGGGTGTGGTGCGATGATCTGATCACTAGCACTCATTCGACGGCGCACGAGTACAGTAGTGTAGGGTGAGCTGTTAGCAGCATCATATTGACCGATCGCCCTCCCCCTCCCCCTTTGCATGCCGCCCAGATCTCCAAGGTGCCGCCCGACGTGATCCGCTACTTCACATCGCCCAATCCCGAGGAGCTGACCCCGCCGGACGTGACGGTGCTGGCGCCCTTCGTGCGCAACGCCCTGCCCATCGCCTACGGGGTCTTTGGCGTGCAGGTCTTCCACGTGAGTGCTGCTCTTCCAGGTGAGTGCTGCTCTTCCACGTGAGTGCTGCTCTTCCACGTGAGTGCTGCTCTTCCACGTGAGTGCTGCGCTTCCACGTGAGTGCAGAGCGGTTCCACGTGAGTGCAGAGCGGTTCCTTCAGGCAGATGCAGGGCAGAGCAGGTGTGGCTTCCATGTGAGTGTGGAAGCCCCTCCTCTCTGGCATGGACAGGTGCAGGTGGCTGTTCCACACGCATGCATGCACGTTCCGTGTCTTCAACTTCTCCACATCAAATATCCTTGCAGGCCCACCTCACCCTCTCACCTCCAGCATTCACGTGTTCTTGTGTCATGCGCCAGCCACTTCAATCTCCCTGCTCACTTCTTCCACCCAACCACCTACGGCGGGTACGCAACCCTCTTCTTTGCACCTCACCCAACCACACCAGGAGGTGGCCCACTGGCTGACGGCAGCACAGAAGCGTGTCAGGCTCGGCATCCCGTACCTCATTCCCAACATCACCATCGGGAGCTTCGGGGCCATCACTCAGGTACAGTGAACCTGGATGTCTCTGGCATTTCCAGCCGCTGCTATCTCCTCTGTCACACTAGCTTGCCCTTTGACGCTTCTCTTGTGCTCTGCCCTTCCCCATCCTTCATGCCTCACGCACGTCCCTCATGCCATTTCTCTCTATTCACACACCCACTCACTCCCATGCCATCTCTCCCCCTTCCCCTCCCCTGCAGATCAAGAGCCCCTGTCCCGACCGCACTGCTCTCTTCGACATTGCCATGGCCGGCCCACTAGCCGGCGCCACCTTGTCGCTCGCCATGTTTGCGGCGGGCCTTGCCCTCTCGCTGCCACCCTCGGGCCCACTGGCAGCGCTGCCAGGGCTGCAGGAGTCGCTCGTGCAGGTGCCCTCGCAGCTCTTCCAGGGCTCCCTGCTGCTCGGCGCGCTCTGCCGAGCCGTGCTGGGATACGAGTGAGTGCAGAGTGGTGCTGGGATACGAGCGAGTGCAAAGTGGTGCTGGGATACGAGTGAGTGCAGAGTGGTGCTGGGATACGAGTGAGTGCAGAGTGGTGCTGGGATACGAGTGAGTGCAGAGTGGTGCTGGGATATGAGTGAGTGCAGAGCGGTGCTGGGATACGATTGAGTGCAGAGTGGTGCTGGGATACGAGTGAGTGCAGAGTGGTGCTGGGATACGAGTGAGTTCAGAGTGGTGCTGGGATACGAGTGAGTGCAGAGTGGTGCTGGGATACGAGTGAGTGCAGAGTGGTGCTGGGATACGAGTGAGTGCAGAGTGGTGCTGGGATACGAGTGAGTGCAGACCGGTGCTGGGATACGAGTGAGTGCATAGCGGTGCTGGGATACGAGTGAGTGCAGAGTGGTGCTGGGATACGAACGAGTGCAGAGTGGTGCTGGGATACGAGTGAGTGCAGAGTGGTGCTGGGATACGAGTGAGTGCAGAGCGGTGCTGGGATACGAGTGAGTGCATAGCGGTGCTGGGATACGAGTGAGTGCAGAGTGGTGCTGGGATACGAGTGAGTGCAGAGTGGTGCTGGGATACGAGTGAGTGCAGAGTGGTGCTGGGATACGAGTGAGTGCAGAGTGGTGCTGGGATACGAGTGAGTGCAGAGTGGTGCTGGGATACGAGTGAGTGCAGAGTGGTGCTGGGATACGAGTGAGTGCAGAGCGGTGCTGGGATACGAGTGAGTGCATAGCGGTGCTGGGATACGAGTGAGTGCAGAGTGGTGCTGGGATACGAACGAGTGCAGAGTGGTGCTGGGATACGAGTGAGTGCAGAGTGGTGCTGGGATACGAGTGAGTGCAGAGCGGTGCTGGGATACGAGTGAGTGCATAGCGGTGCTGGGATACGAGTGAGTGCAGAGTGGTGCTGGGATACGAGTGAGTGCAGAGTGGTGCTGGGATACGAACGAGTGCAAAGTGGTGCTGGGATACGAGTGAGTGCAGAGTGGTGCTGGGATACGAGTGAGTGCAGAGTGGTGCTGGGATACGAGTGAGTGCAGAGCGGTGCTGGGATACGAGTGAGTGCAGAGCGGTGCTGGGATACGAGTGGGAGTGTTTGTTAGGGTTTGAAAAGAGGGTGGACGGGTAATGAGCCTCTCCTCACACGCTGTCTTTGCACTACTTTGCCTACTCTAATATGCCCCAACCAAGCCCTGTATCATGTGCCCTTCCCCCCTGTGCTTCCACTCAGCTTGATGCATGTGCAGGCAATCACCATCCACCCGCTCGTCATTGTTGGATGGTACGTGCCTCTGCTCAGCCGTTTCTTCTCACGTCCGATCGCCATCCCCTTCGGGTGCCCCACGTTGCATGCCATACGTGCACCTCGGAACCTTGGCCAGCCTGTAGTCCATCCTCCTGCTCCATTGCCTCACCATGCCAAGCACACACTACCCCTACACCACCCTGCCATTTCCCTGCTGCCACAGGTGTGGCTTGACCACCTCTGCTCTCAATCTGTTGCCAGCAGGTCGGATTGACGGCGGACGAGCGACACAGGTATGACTCTCACTGCATTGGCTTCATGCCTGGATGTCTGTTGATACAGGTTGGCTTCTCTCGCCTGTCAACCCTTGCATTCACCTCACGTGCGCTTTCTGTGTGCCCTCCTGTTTTTGCATGCACCCAGGCTGCATTTGGGCGTGACACTGTCAACATCACTAGCCTCGTTACATACGGACTTCTGGGACTCGGTTTGGTAAGTGCACTCATGAGCAGTCTTCACTCGTTTCAGCCTCGTACCTAGTTTCACCGTACTTCTTCGCCTGGAAAACTGCACTTTATTTGAGCCTGTTCAGAGCCCATCCTCCTGTGCACTGATTCCTGCATGCCTGTTACCCTGTTTCTGGCCTGCTTGCAGCTTGGGGGACCTTTTTCCCTGCCCTTTGGTCTCTACGTCCTCTTTCTTCAGGTATGGTTGTGTCAACGTCATGCCCAGAATGTGTGGGCTTTGGAAGAATTTGTTCAAATACCTTTTTGGTGCGCCCAGGCATTTAACTGGTCTCCTCTCCCCGTGCCTCCCATTGTCCACCAGAGGGACTTTGAGAAGCCTGCATTGAATGACGTCTCAGGGGTTGGCTGGCAGAGGCAAGCAGTCCTTGTTGGGACAATCGCCCTGGCAGTTGGCACACTTCTGCCACTTTGGGATGGACTCGCTGATGACCTCGGTATTGGCATTGGAAGCCAGCTGTTCTGATCCTTGGCTGGATAGTCTCCAGTACCTAAAGTATTGTGCACCTAGTTAGGTTAGGTCTGCCATTGTCCAAAAATGCTTTTGCTTCTAGAATGCATTACCTTTTACCGTATCTATGCAGGCAGCTTGGAAACCGCAGCTGAATCTACAAACCAGGTGACTGGTCCACTGTAAGGACGAACCAGTTGAGCAGGCAGTGCACCCGGTAAAGCAAACCTCCCAAAGATTCTCTGCACCACCTCAGCTTTTCCCTTCCCTGCTGCAACAAATGCAACCTGATCACAACCACAATCAATGTGTCAGTAGCAGAAAGCACAGGAGGGCAGCCCTGGTCGAAAAACAAGTCACCTAAGTTGAACGCAAACATGCACTCACATTTGAGGCGCAGTTGATGACAGGGAGCGTCATGGTGATCCGTTCTGGAGGTGGTTTTGGCGAGTTTGTGACAGGAAGCACCCATTTTGATGTTTCACGCAAAAGCGGGCTGTTGGGGAAGAGAGAGGCCACATGGCCATCGGGACCGAATCCAAGAAGAATCTGCGCAGTCTCTTACGGGGCTCATCAGGATTGACCACTCGTGGGCAATGTAAAATCATTGAATGCGAGAGTTCTCACCAGGTCCATACGAGGAAACGGCACACCCTGTGTTGTTCTGAGAACGCCCTCCTCCACAAGCTCTCTGAAGGACGATGCGACTTAATATTAGAATCAATGAGGGTTTCCTTCACAAGCAGCTATATAAGCAACATGGTACTCGAGGCCAGCACGTACTTCATGAGTTCCTCGTAGTCGCTTGCAGCTTCCACAACAGACAATTCATCATCGATAGAGTAAATATGCTCCTCAGGAATGGGAACCTTTGACAGCACCTCGTCCTGCGTGGAAACCACATGCCCTGAATGTACATCAGTACCTTGAACATTAACCAGGGACAGCAACCCCAGGTACCCACCATCGCGAGCTTGTAGTTACTGTCAGGGCTCGAAAGCTTCACCGCACGCTCATCCACCCACAGGACGTGCCAATTTTTCCAATCTATTGACGACCTGAAGGGTTCTTCAGTCAGTTTCAGTAAAGCCTGCACCCGGGAACCATGAGCGTCAAGTACACGAATCTGTAGGCGTACCGCATACGAAGCAGAAATAGCCGCATTGGGACATACATTGACCAGCGAGCCTCCAGATAGCGCAATGGTAAAAGCACCCCTGGACTTCGTCGCCTCTGCCGAAAGCCGCTGAATGTACTCAGCCACAGCGGAGGCTACCTCGGATGGAGATTCTTCGCGGCTTATGTACACCTTCGCCTCATGGTCAGGGTAAGGAACCACCAGCTTCGACTTCGGGAATGTGACGGTGAGTTCATCTGAGACTCCTACCTCATTGCTGGCCCAGACGGTTGTTTTTCTAACCCGCTGACTAGGAAACGCTGCTGGATTTGAATATCGAACCTTCGAAATCTGGTTGTTATGACAGGATCCAGGGAGGAACGAAGCCTGCACGAACACGACAATCTCGAGTGAGTATCATGTTCACCGCCAAGTGTAGAAACAGCGACATTTGCATACTGCCTTGAGACCGTAAACTAATCTAATTACCTTGGCAGCAAGGCCAGAAACGACGTTAGACAGGCAGTAGGAGGCCATGGCTGGTTCACAGCAGAAACAACCTGTGAAGAATTCAGAAGTCTGATAGGGCCATGACAGTGAAGCAGCCGGACTGGTTGGAACTTTCGAGTGTCAATTTCGTTGTTGCAATTGGTGTGGGGAGGATTGCATGCGCGAGTTATGCCGCACGTTCCCTACTTATCCAACGGCGGAAGTTTGTGTTACGAAACACTCCAACTCTTTTCGTCTTTGATCTCACCCAATCGAGTGCTAATAAAACGTCGCAGCCAGTTGGCCTCTGCGATTAAACTCCCAGCTCAACCAATGCGCATCCATCAATTCCTGCCACAGCCTGCCAAGGAAACCCACTTCCGCCAATCCCAACGCACATCTCGTTCCCTTGAAACCCCACCTCCCACAACCTTCTGTTCAAGTCTTCGATTCAAATGTTACATTCCAGTTTTCACATTTTGCCTACTCTAACCCTACCCGTTCAAGGGAAGCGTACGTGTCCTTTCGTTTCAATGGCGATGCCCGTGCAGTCTTCGCCGTATTCCGGGAATGTTATCACCACAGAACTTATTCAAAAGGTAATGCATCCTTGTCCGTCTTCGGTTGCTATTTGCGCCTTAATTATGTATCTCGCAGCTTACGTCCGGATTCTTGCTCGTGCAGTACTTGGACGAGAATAAGCAGCTGATCCTTGCGATCCTCGACAATCAGAATTTGGGAAAACTCAATGAATGCGCACAGTAAGTAATCCATATGGGAGTTGTCGTGCAGACGGAAAACTGTGACACGTACACATGGATAACGAATCTGTTTTGTGTTGCAGGTACCAGGCTAGGCTTCAGCAGAATCTTATGTATCTCGCTGCGATTGCGGATGCGCAGCCTCAAGTTCCTCCTCCTCAGGTACCGGGTAGCATCAATTAGTTAACCGTGCACGGATGCGTCCAATCAGCCTTTTAGCACATTTTCTCCTTGTTTGTGAGTATAATCTCTATTATTGGATGCTGATTTCGACTTTTGCGCAGGCTCCAACGGTCCAGCCAGGTCAGACATACACACAGCCTTCAGCAGCGGCGCAGCCCGTCCCAGCAGCTCAAGTTCCAGGCCAGCAGGCCCAATATACTCAGCAACCACAGCAAGTGCAGTATCAGCCAGCACAGCAGCAGCCTTCTGCCCCTGTTCAACAGCAGCAGCCACAGCAACAGCAGCAGCCCGCGCAGCCGCAGCAGTACCAGCAGCCAGCACAGCCAGCACCACAACCACAGCAACAGCAGCAACCGCAGCAGCAGCAATATCAGCAAGCACCACAGCAGCCTCAGCAATCTCTTCCTGGCCAGCAGCAAGCGCAGCAGCAATACCAGCAGTTTCAGCAGCAGGCTCAGCCACAACAGTATCAGCAGTCGGCACAGCAGTACCAGCAACAACAGCAGCAGTATCCTGTTCAACAACAGCAGCCCCAGCAGCCACAGCAGCCACAACCACAGCAGCAGGCGCTGCAACCCCAGCAGCAGCCTACATATCAGCAGCCCCCGCAGCAGCCGCAGCAGCAGCAGATGCAGACAATGCAGCCCATTCAGCCGGCTCAGCCAATTCAGCAGCCACTTCAGACGCCACAGCAACCCTTGCAGATGGCCCCGCAGCAGACAGTCTCTGCCCCTCAGGACCAACAGCAGGGATACTCGCAGGGCCAGCAGATGATGCAGCAGCAGATGGCTCCAGCTGCATCTCAGCCTGTTGTCCCCACCGCTGTGAGCGGCGCTGGCAGCGAAGTCTCTGCAGGAGGAAACGGTGCGCCCGTTGGCAGCTTTGGCGACTATGGGCAGGCACAGGTTGGTGAGCCACAGGCACCTACAGCACAACCAGCAGATTCGAATATGGCCATGCCAAGTACAGGAATGTAGACACTTGTTGTTTTCCTTGTTTTCACAGTACTGATACAGGGCTTCACAGTATTGAACTTCTAGGTTGCTTAAGACATCATAAGAACCTCCTTCCTTCACTTTCTTTGCATTCCCCCATTCTTGGTGATACTTGGTAGATTGTGCTTGACTTCTCTGTTGTTGTAACTAATGAGCTTCCCATCAACTATGGTACTACTAAGTACTACTAGGGGTGCTATCATGTTTGAAGCTCTTAATTTTTGCCATTTCCCACTGTTTCTTTCTCAAAAACTAATGAGCCATCCATATGGGCAAACGCAGTTCTAAGTTCCTAACAACCACTTAAAAGCCAATGCGTATCCGTGTTCTAGTGAAACACATGCTAGTGAAACACATACCAAAGCCCAGCCCAACGGCGCCGCAATCGAGAATGGGAGGGCAAGTCCTGAACACAAACCGCAAGCTGACTCAGCCACGTCACTCACACCCTTGTCGCCACCAGCGTATGCACGGGGCCATTCAACTTATGCCAGTGCGATTATGCAGATGCATACAATAGACGGCCGTAGGGGAAAGAGGCTGACGGACTGTTATCTGCCCGCGGTCAGAAAAATATAAACCCCATCTGGATGGCAGCATGCGACTGGGGGAGCCTCAACCCTAAACAAGGGTAACCGCGTTATTTTGCCGGCAGGCTGTCAGTTTTCCTGAACCGTCTATTGCATGCATTCGCAAACAGGCACTAGCGAAATCTGCATGCGTCAGCTAAAAGCCGGTTTGCACGCACAGAACCGCCGTTATGATGAACGGAGCATCCGTACTGTACGTGTCGGTGGAAATAGAAAACCCTCCCTCACTTGGTCCACAGGCACGGGAAACGTGTGGTACAGTACAGTAACGGCAAGGCACGACAAAGTACAGTTAGTTGCGGTTGCTCTGTGAGACAGTGAAATGGGGAGTGCAGGTGACCAGATGAAACCTGAATTAGCGGTGGCGGTCAGGAAATCAATGCATTTAGGGGTTGCCTGGCTGTCTGTCTATCAGTCAGCCCATTGTATGTTTGTCAGCCATTCTCTGACTGAAAGCACAGGCTTACAAAACCCGCTCTTACAGTTGTGTGTGTCACCTACCATCTCGGTGACCGCGTCCTGGTCCCGTTCCAAAATCTCGCCATCGTCTCGCTATCATCGCATTGCAATTGACTGACTGAGAATGAGGCCGGTCGTACTCCTACTGTTGCTGCACGCATGTCTACTATCTTCGCATCGCCTCGCCGCGGCGCGCATCTCGCCTCTCGCCGAAGCGGACGGCGCCGCAAGTAGCCGCAGCCGTCGCGAGCTGCAAGGTCAGTGCGCCCGTCCTTCACACAGCATTGCCGTTGCGGATTCCACGGGCCGGACCGCCAAAAGGGAGTTCAGCGTCGAGCTTTGAGAATCTCGCCACGAACGGCCTCAATTGTGTCGCTTCCCCTCCCACCACTCTAATTCCGAGCCTTGCACCGCCCCGCGCGCCCGTGCTCCCCCTCCCCCTCCCCCTCCCCCTCCCCCTCCCCCTCCCCCTCACCTTCCCTCCGTCCAGCGTCGTGCCCCGCGGGCGTGGTGTGTCCGGCTGGCGCGTCGTGCGTGGTGGACGGCAGCGGCTTCCCTTTCTGCAAGTGCGCGGCGGGGCAGGCCATCATCAACGGCGTGTGCGCGCCGGCCGCCAGCTGGGCCACCGTCGGCACCAACGTGGTGCTCTACAACCGCGCGTCGTACACCAACTTCCCGAAAACACTCGCGCCAGCCGTGCTTCGCGGCGCGGCGCCGAACACGAGTGCGTGCGTGAACCTGCCGGCGGCGTTCAACGGGTCGGTGGGATCGCTGCGCATCATGTGGAACGTGAACGACGGCGTGGCGAACCACCTGGTGTGCGGCAAACTGTTTTTCTGGGACAAACCCAACTGCTGCTGCTCCGGGTCGGGTTATCAGATCCCCGGCGGGTGGACGACCGTCGACCCCAACAAGTTCACCTACACCACCACCAGCGTCAAGTGAGCCACGCCCCGTCCCGCCATACGCGGCCCGCGCGCCCTTGCGCGCCCGCCGCTTCCCATCCACCCGCATTCCGTCCCATCGCTGACACTTCTCGTCTGCTTCCATGACGTTGACCCCGTTGACTGACTCTGGCGGCGTTGATTGCGTTGACCGCGTGCAGGTCGGCGAGCGGCATTATTCTGAAGGCGAGGTCCATCTCGTGCCAGGCCGCCATCGCCACCAACACGTACCCCTGCGCCACCAAGACCTGCCCCGTCAACGCCGCGTGCTCCGTGGTCAACGGTGCCGCCGTGTGCACGTGCAACGCTGGATACAGCATGGTCAACGGGCAATGCGTTGGTGAGTTTGCTCGCTCTGGTCGGCAGTGCTGCGCCATGCAGAGTGAGCGCCGTGCAACCCGCGTCCTCACCCTTTTCTGCCCCTACTTCCCCTTCTCCCCATCCTCCCCCTTCTGCCCATTCTCCCCATTCTCCCCATTCTCCCCCTTCTGCCCATTCTCCCCATTCTCCCCATTCTCCCCCTTCTGCCAGCAACAACGTCCAACCCGTGCACAGGGTACAGCTGTCCCGCCAACTCAGCATGCTCCAACGTCAATGGCGTTGCCACGTGCACGTGCAATACTGGTTACCAGATGGTCAACGGCCAGTGCGTTGGTGAGTTGACTCCACTGAATCTCGTTTGCCGATCCCCACCCTCCCCTTTTCCACTCTCTCCGCTTCCACTCCATCTCCCCCCATTTTTCCTTCCCCCGATCCCCCCTCCTCACCGCTGACGTCCTGCTTGTATCTCCCCCAATCCCTCCACCTCTTATCGTCTCTAGTCCCTCCCTCCATCCCTCCTCTCTTCACCTCCTATTTCTGCCTCTATCCAATTCGTTTTTTTGCCCATCCCCTTGCTCTCCCCACTCCCAAACGCCAGTGCCCAACCCGTGCACGGGGTACACCTGTCCCGCCAACTCAGCATGCTCAAATGTCAATGGCGTTGCCACGTGCACGTGCAATACCGGATACCAGATGGTCAACGGCCAGTGCGTTGGTGAGTTGATTCCGTTTAATTTCACTTACAATTGACCTCCTTTTCCTCCTCCCCTCCAACCCATAAATCTCTCCTGTGTTATATCTCCCCAATCTCTCCACCTCTTCTCCTCTCCATGCCCTCCCTCCATCCATCCTCTCCTCGCCTCCAATTTCTTGCTTGCCTCTCGCCAATTTCTCCCTTTTTTTTTCCGTCTCCTTGCTCTCCCCGCTCCCAAAGTGCCCAACCCGTGCACAGGGTACAGCTGTCCCGCCAACTCAGCATGCTCCAACGTCAATGGTGTCGCCACGTGCACGTGCAATACTGGTTACCAGATGGTCAACGGCCAGTGCGTTGGTGAGTCAACTCCCTTTATCTCACTCCGTGAATCTCCACCTATCCTTCACCTCCCAAGCCTCCACTCTCTCCTTTCCAATCATCTCACCTCCGTCTTTCCACCTCTTCTGCTCTCCTCTTCCCCCCTCCATCCTTTTCCTTCTCCCCTTACCTCCGATTTCTCTCTTGTTTCTGACCAACTCTAATATCTGCTGGTTTCCCTGCCTTTCCCCCTCCCAAACGCCAGTGCCCAACCCGTGCACGGGGTACAGCTGTCCCGCCAACTCAGCATGCTCCAATGTCAATGGCGTCGCCACGTGCACGTGCAATACTGGTTACCAGATGGTCAACGGCCAGTGCGTTGGTGAGTTAATTTCCCACTTTCACATTCCATCAATTTCCATCTCTCTTCCTCTCCCCCACTCTCTCCACCTCCGATCGACTTCGCTCCCTTCCACTCTTGCCGTTTCTCCTCCGATTTCTCGCTTGTTTCTCGCCAATGCAATTCTTTGCCTGTCCTCTTGCTCTCCCCTCCCCCAAACACCAGTGCCCAACCCATGCACGGGGTACACCTGTCCCGCCAACTCAGCATGCTCCAACGTTAATGGCGTCGCCACGTGCACGTGCAATACTGGTTACCAGATGGTCAACGGCCAGTGCGTTGGTGAGTCAACTGCCTTCCCTCACTCTGCAAACCCCCACCTCTCCTTCTCCCTCTCCCCCTGCTTCCAACGCCTCCCCCTCTCTGTATCTCTCCTCCTCACTCCCTCCCTCTCGACCATTTGCCCCTTCGTCCCACCTTCTCCGCTCTTCTCAGTCATAACTTTTTTTCTGTGTGTTTGCTTGCTCTCCCATCTCCCAAACACCAGTGCCCAACCCGTGCACGGGATACAGCTGTCCCGCCAACTCAGCATGCACGAATGTCAACGGCGTTGCCACGTGCACGTGCAGCACCGGCTACCAGATGACCGCCGGCCAGTGCGTTGGTGAGTTAATCTCCTCGCTCCCCACGGCCATGCCAGCACTGCGTGTTGCTTACACTTGCCACTCTCACATGCTCGTAGACCCTTCTCCTCCCATCACCCATCCCCACCAACCCCTCGTTTCGCCCTCCTCCTCGTTTCGCCCTCCCCCTCGTTTCGCCCTCCCCCTGGTCCGGCTGGTGTGTGCAGCAATCACTGACGCGTGTCTGACTACCACGTGTCCCGCCAAGGCCACGTGCAGCAGCGTGAATGGAGTGGCCACGTGTGTGTGCGCCGTGGGCTACACCATGGTCTCCGGCGCCTGCCAGCGTACGCCCATCGCCTCTCCCCTCCTCGCCCCCCTCACCCTCTCCCCACCTCGGCCCCCTCGCCCCTCTAACCCGTGTCGTCCCTCTCGCCCCTCGCTCCTTTTCTCCCTCACCCGCCCGGCCCCCTTGCCTTTTCTCCTGACTTTCCACCTCTCCTCACTCTCCACCTCTCCTCACTCTCCACCTCTCCTCACTCTCCACCTCTCCTCACTCTCCACCTCTCCTCACTCTCCACCTCTCCTCACTCTCCACCTCTCCTCACTCTCCACCTCTCCTCACTCTACACCTCTCCTCACTCTCCACCTCTCCTCACTCTCCACCTCTCCTCACTCTCCACCTCTCCTCACTCTCCACCTCTCCTCACCCTCCACCTCTCCTCACCCTCCACCTCTCCTCACTCTCCACCTCTCCTCACTCTCCACCTCTCCTCACTCTCCACCTCTCCTCACTCTCCACCTCTCCTCACTCTCCACCTCTCCTCACTCTCCACCTCTCCTCACTCTCCACCTCTCCTCACTCTCCACCTCTCCTCACTCTCCACCTCTGCCTCGCCCTCGCCCACCCACTCGCCTGCCTGCTGCCTCGCCCTCGCCCACCCTGCCGCTGCCTGGCTCGCCAGCATACCCCTTGACTGCCATGCGCACTGCTCCCCTCCCCTCCTCACCCCCCTGTCTCTTTCCTCCTTTTCCTCCCCTTCCATCTCCCCCTCCTCCACCCCCCACCAGCGGCCAGCCCATGCTCGCTGGTGACGTGTCCAGCCAACTGCACGTGCTCCGCCGCCAATGGCATTGCCAAGTGCGCCTGCGCTGGTAAGTGCTGCCCTCCCAGTCCCCCCCTCCATCTCTGCCCTCTGCCTTCCTCCATTGCTCTCTCCTCGGGTCATCCTCTCCCCCAACACGGCCCCTCCTGCCGTCTCCCTTGCTCACTCGACTCTGTACCTTTCCCCTTTCCCCCACGCCCCCCCACGACTCGAGCGAGCAGACCTGTGCTACGGGGTGAGGTGCCCCGACGTCTCCAAGTGCACCTACATGCTCGGCGCGCCCGTCTGCACGTGCCCTCCACCCTACACGCGCCTCATTGACAACAAGTGCTCCAACGGTCAGTTGTGCTCCCCCCTGCCCTCCTGTCCTGTGTCCTGCTGCCCTCCTCCCTGCTGCTTGCAACTGCATGCTTCCATCCCTTTCCTGCGCTCTCCCTTAGTCCTTCACTCCCTTCTCCCCTCACTCCCCAACTCCCCCCATGCCTCGTGCCCGCCGTGCCTCGCCCGCTCACAGCGACGCTGGCCTTTTCCAACTATCTGGACAACCACAATGCGGCGAGGGCAGCTGTGGGCGCCGTCCCCCTGGTGTGGAACGCCACCCGTGAGTGCCCGCCTCTCTCGTGCTTCTGTGTCCGCCTCTTGCCAACACCATTCTGCATTCGTCTGCCGCTCAACGCACGGCCACTGCTGTGTGCTTGCACTGGGTTGTCGTGCTCTCATGCGCCCTCCGCACGGACTGCATGCACCTCACCCCCTCTCCACACCTGCACCCTTCACCCCTTCTCCACACCTGCACCCTTCACCCCTTCTCCACACCTGCACCCTTCACCCCCTCTCCACACCTGCACCCTTCACTGCCGCCTCTCAAACCCCAATTCTCATTCCTTCCACTTCCTCCCCCCCCTTATCTCCCAGTGGCAACGAGGGCGCAGGCGTGGGCGACAGCGCTGACGAACAGCACGTACAACTGCGGGCTGTCGCACGGCGGCAACAGCGGCGAGGGGCAGAACCTCTCAGGCGCCAGCCCTTCTGGGTGGGCGTCAGATGCAGCGGCTGTGAGCTGGTGGGTGGGCGAGGGCGACCTCTACTCGTACGCCGTCTTCTCTGGCGGCTGCAGCACCGGCAACTGGGCCGACTGTGGCCACTACACCCAGGTGAGCTGCATGGGGAAGAGGATTTCAGGGAGGAGGAGAGATGGTGCTGTGAGGTGTGCTGCTTGCAAAGGCACGCTGTGCGTTGCACCATGCAGCTGTGCCTCGTCGGTCATCTGCTCCCTCGTTCCTCTTCCCTGCAGGTCATTTGGAACAACACGCGCACCGTGGGCTGTGCCAAGGCGTCGTGCGGCACCAAGTCGGACGTGTGGGCGTGCCACTACTACCCGCCCGGCAACTATGGCGGCCAGCTGCCCTACGGTCAGTGCTGCGCTCCCTTCCCTCCCTCCAAACCCTTGTGCCTCCCTTGTGCTCCCACCTCTTCTCAAATTTTCCCTACCTCTCACTTCATTCCCTCCCTCTCCTTCTGTGCCTTTCCCCTCTGCAGTGCAAGACCCGTGCTACCTCTCACTTCATTCCCTCCCTCTCCTTCTGTGCCTTTCTCCCCTGCAGTGCAAGACCCGTGCTACCGGGTGGCATGCCCATCCACGGCCACATGCACAGTGCGGTACGGGCAGCCCATGTGTGTGTGTGGGGCGGGGCAGGTGCTCGTCAACAACGCCACGTGCCAGCCCGACCCGTGCGCCAGCGGCACCACCACGTGCCCCGGCAACCTCGTCTGTGACGGCTCCTCCGGCTCCGCCCAGTGCGCCTGCCCCACCGGCCTCGTGCCCATCACCTCCGACACCTGCGTCCGTGAGTGCCCCTCTCTCCCCTCTCCCCTGCCTGCCCACTCCGCCCCCTTGGTCATTCGTCCCTCGTGATTCATCATTCGCCATTCTCCACCACCCCCTTTCCTCACACCACACTTTCCCTCCCTCGCCCCTGTGGCCTTCCCTTCCTATTGCTTGCAGCGCCGGCGTGTGTGGGGGCGGTGTGCCCAGCACAGGCGACATGTGCAGTGGACGGGAGTGGGTACCCGTTCTGCCAGTGCCCCACGGGGTGGTACTTGGGCAGCAACGTGTGTGTGCAGGGCACGCCCGCAGCTGTGGCAGCCACGAGCCTGGCCATCTACAACACGGCGTCCTACACCAGCACGGCCCCCGCGCTGGGCCCCACGCTCGTGCGCACAGGGCTGCCCGCCAACTCGTCACGCGGCAGCTGTGTGGACATCCCCGGCGGCATTGCGGCGGCGTCGCTGCGCGTGCTGTGGAACGTGCCGGACAGCACGGGGGCGCCCAAGCAGTCGTGCGGGCTGCTCTGGTTCTGGACCAGCGCCTCCTGCTACGGCTCCGCCACCGGCTACTACCGCCCCGCTGGCGATGTCACCAACTTCGCGTCAGTGCCCCGCCCCCCGCCCCTGCCCCGCCTGTGCTTCCTTTCTCTCAATACTTGCAGCATGCTGTCGTTCTCCTGTGGTGCCTTTCTCACACTCATCGCTCTCTGCTGTGCTGTTTCCCCTCTCTGTGCATGCAGCACCACGTCGGGCAATGTGGCCCTCGTCAAGGCCGTTGCCTGCGCCATCTGATCTCACTGCCCCCTGCTGCCACCATGCACCCACGGGACTGGACCACACTGCACAGCTGAAGTCGTCCCCCCTCACCTGTACAAGTGCCGAGCCGATCCATCTGCTGAGGCTTATCTGTACCATACGTGATTCTTTCATTTTATCCCTTTTGGTGTGATGCCCAGCTTCATTTTTGTGACGGTGCATGCAAGTGTATAGTTGTGTTTGAATACTTGGGAATAAAGGAGGAACCAGTTTCACTCTTGACGGGATTTTTCCCCTTACTGTTACATCTGGTCCTCAGGTACCGTATCAGGGTTAAACAACCTGAAAATGCTGATAGACCAGGTCTCCTCTCCTGTCCTCTGTCCTGGTCGGGCCTGGTCTGGTGTGCTCGGGTTTGGTCAAACTGGAACAATTTAATGTTTGTCTTAGGAGTGATGCATAGCGAAATGATTCAGTAGGTAGTAGGAGAAAGGGGTACAAGTCAAGGGGAAAATATGCGACTAGTAATCAAGAAGGGTCTCAATAATATGTTTGGTAAAGAAACGATGGGTATGGTCACTGCAAAGGGTGTTTTCGCGTGTTTGAGAAAACGTTTCACGGAATCAGTCACAATCAACTGGGAAAAAAAAAAACGTGAATGGTCACAGACGAAACTCTCGCCGAAAAAAGATAATACCCAAAACGAACCTGGATGCATTTTCGGATGAATCAACCCTAAACACAATTCGCCAGGCGTTTAGGGTTGATCTGTTCCCAAACCGTATCCGATTCCGATTGGGTTTTAGATTTTTTTTAAGTTGGCTGATTGGTTGGGCACGAGCGGGAATTTTGTAGAGTTTCAAGCAGGGCTCATTTTTGGTTTTGACCAACCCTTGCGATCAGTCTAGCACCTGTTCAAAAACCTGATTTTCAGGGTTGCCCGTTGTGGAAAACCTGATGCGTCAGGGTTTTTGCATGTATTAAAACGGCTACCCTGAGTCATCAGTGTACCAATTCGCAAAACACAGTTTCAGTTGTTATTAACACAGTTGTACTGATTCAGGTGTACCAATTCAGGTGTACCAATTAACACAGCACACATTAACACGCCTCTCAACAGTTGGCAAAGGGAAAATCCAGGTTTCGGGGTCAGGTGGTTACGGGACGGGGGGGGGGAAGGGGGGGGGGGGGGGGGGGGGTGGGGGTTCGCTGGTACGCGCTTCAGGGTAAACCTCGATAAGCGGAACGGCAACCCTGAGGCGACAGTGTTCCTTAATCTTAAAACCTGGCACATCAGGGTAAATCAAGGTCCCGAAAAAAATACCCAGGAGCATCAGTGTTACTACCAAAAACCACCCTTCTAGTCAGGCCATCAGGGTGATTTACACTGATAACGTGGGCCCTGGTTTCAAGAAGTTTTGGCGAGAGTTACATGTGTGACCATTCGCGTGATTTTTAACCTGTTGTTAGTGATTGAATCCGTGACCCCACTTACCAAACCCGTCAGGAAACCCGATACACTGACCGTACGCGTTACTTTTTTACCATTCACGTCATGCTGGTTACTTTTGACATATTTTCCTCAAGTCAAGTGTCGAGATAATCATGTATGTCAGAATTATGCTGTTATAACTGCATGTGGTTCTAGCGTTAGTGTAGTTATCCTGATTTCCTGCTTGGTGGTGTACCCTCTTTCCTACCCTACATGTTGTGACCCTCTCCATAGTGAAACCCCTCTTCTCTCGTCAATCTCGTTCTACCCTAGGCTACTAAGCCTAGTACAATCTTGACATGGTTTCAGAGCTGGTTCTTTCCTAGAACCTTCAAATTTTTTTAAGATCAATGGGTCCACCCGTCCCTATGGCGCACTACGACCGTCCCGTCCCCTGCACGTCGTGCTGCCCGTCCCATCCCCTGACCGTCGCGTTGCCCATCGCACGCGACCCGTGCGCCCTGCCCGTCCATCGCGCCCCTGCTGCGCCTTGCCTGTCGCCTCGCGCAGTTTCGTCGCCCCACGCCCCCCAAGTCGCCTCGCGCGGTTTCGTCGCCCCACGCCCCCCACCCGTCACCCAATGTTGTTTCGTCCCCCTATCCCGTGCGCTGCCCCTTTGCCTCGCCGCTGGTCGCGAGTGCCAGCGCCAGCCCCGCGCTCCAGCGCCATCTGCCGGGGGGGAGGGGGGAGATGAGTGGGTGGCGAGTGAAGGGGGGACATGCAATGAAGGAGTGGCGGGAGAGACTCTGCCGAGCCAGCAATCGCCCCTCCTCATCTCTCTCTCGCTGCTGGGCAGGGGGGGAGGGTAAGAGAGAGTGGTGGAAACAACAGCCACGCATCTGCAGCTGCCGCCCACTACTAACGTGGCACCTATAGCTGCAACCCCTGTCGCCACCTTTCGTCTTTCGTCTACCTGCACCGCATGCATGCTCCCCCCTTTCGTCTTTCGTCTTTCGTCTTGGCTAAGGAATTTTTGCAGCTGTATCTACCACTTTTGCACCAAGTTGCTACTGCTTTTGCGTGTTGCTGCTTTGTTCTGCTTTGTGTACCCCTGCAGGTTGTGTTTTGCACTTTGTTATTCCTGCATGCAGTTAAGGAGGGATGTCAGAATTATGTTGTTATAACTTCATGTAGTTCTAGCGTTAGTGTAGTTATCATGATTTCCTGCTTGGTGGTGTACCCTCTTTCCTACCCTATATGTTGTGACCCTCTCCATAGTGAAACCCCTCTTCTCTCGTCAATCTCGTTCTACCCTAGGCTACTAAGCCTAGTACAATCTTGACAATGTACCCCCTACTGTGAACCTCAATGTAGGTTAGAAATTTGACAAATATATATGCAATATTTGACAGTTTGCCGCCCAATCATGGGAAAACAGAATGTAGTTTCCAAGTGCCCTGAAAGCATCAGAATGTTATGTCAAATTACATGCATGTTATATTTGTGTAGGCTGTAGTGGGGTAGCTAATATGGGGTACAGCCCCGTTTAGGGTTTCATACTTGTACCCAACTCTTCCATAGTGCATTCATTCCTGTCTCTAGATTCTAACATCTTACACCCCCATGGCATGGAGGCTTCACAGTTTCTAAAGGGGTTGTTGAATGGGTGAACACATGCAGGGCGTGCATGGGGTGGAACGGCATCATCACACGCTTGAAGACGTGTGGCACTTAGGCATCTCCAGCAACCTTGATGGCTAGACAACCACCTTGTCACTTCTCACTGTCAAAACATATGCATATCATTATCTAGGCTATATTGGGGCTAGCCTTAGGGGGTACAGAAACTTTCTCAACACTCTAGCCTTGTATCCCAACCTTGACCTAATCTCATAATTCTTGCCTTAGTTCTTAACATGGTAACTAGAGCAGGAGGTCTCTAGGACCTAAGAATCGGGCCCACCTAACTGTGTTTCCCTAACTACTGCCTGCCTGCCTTGCCTACTGCCCGCGCACGCCTCGGCTGCAGCGCCGCGCACCGACCCGCGTCGCCCGCGTAGCCCGCGTAGAGCCCGCGCAGCCCGCCGCCGCGCGCAGCCCGCCGTCGCGTACAGCCCGCCGTCGCCCCGCACGACGCGTCTGTCGCCAGCGCGGCCCGCCACTGCGCCGCGCGTCGCGTCGACCGCCTGCGCGGCCCGCTGCTGCTTAGCGCGCTGCTTTAGGAGCTCGCGTGCAGCCGCTCCTGCCTGCTGCCTACTGTCTCCTGCCTGCTGCCTCTGTCTTTGCCTGTTCCTGGTGCCTGCTGCCTCTTGTCTGCTACATGCTGCCTCCTGCCTCTGCCTACTGCCATTATGACGATGCCTAACGTTCTCGCGTTCGAGCCTGACGGTCGCCCCATAGAGTTCGCTGTACGACGCTGTAGTTGCGCGCTACTCCTCCCCGGCCACTGCAGCCATAGGTCGGCTCATGCTACCCTACCTGTTCCCCGACCTTTCCTCGTTCACCACTGCTGAGGACCTCATTTCCCACCTACGCGCTACTGACACTCGCTTTCATGCCGCCCTTTCAACCGAGTTCCGCGCCGCACCCCCCCCCCCCCGATGTACTTCACTCTCTATTTCCTCGTCACCTGCCTCCCTGACACTCTTAGCTCAGTCAGGGACCACTTCCTCGTGCTAGACCCCCCCACTCTCACTGTCGACGACTTCGAGAAGCACCTCCTCGCAGCAGAGAAGAACATCCTCGCTGTAGGTGCTGCTCGTGGCACTCCTCGCTCTCCCCTCTTTGAGGGGTGCTCCCCCTCCCCTCTCACCCCCTCCTATGCCTCGGCAGCTGCTGCTCATGACTACCTTGGTGCTGAGGAGGTCGGGGCTGCTTCCGCTCCTAGTGGGAAGCGTCGCAGCGGCAGGGGCAGCAAGGGTGGCAGGGAAGGTGGGGGTCGCGGTGGAGGTGGCGGTGGTGCAGGCGGCGGGGGAGGTGGAGGTGGTCGTGGGGGTGGAGGTGGTGGAGGCGGTGGTGGGGGCGGTGGAGGCACTGGGAGCGGTGGAGGTGGTAGCAGTGGCGGTGGGGGAGGAGGGAGCGGTGGTGGCAGTGGTGGTCAGGGCCAGCAGCAGACGCAGGCGCAGCAGCAGCAGCAGCGTCAGCGCCAGACCCCCACTTCCCAGCATCTTCTTGACTGGGATGCCGGGCGTGGGGCTTCTGGGGGTCCTGGTCGCTGCCCCTATATCATTCGCACAGGTCCCCGCACTAGTCGCCAGTGCACAGGGTTTCACACTGAGCAGCGCTGCTTTGCTTGGCTTAGCGACGCTTGGCGCGCCAAGTTTCCTAATGCTCCTAAGTTCCCCAACTGGGCAGAGCTGCTTAGGCGTGATGTACCTATCTTTGATCTTGACTATGAGGCTATTTTTGCTGCTATGTATGCATTGTCTGTTAGTGCTGAGGGTGACTGCTACTTGTGTGTGCCGCCGGATCCTGGTATAGCCCCTGGTATAGTGCCTGCAGCACTAGGTGCTTGTGAGTCTGCTCCCCTTGGTACTGCGCCTGCACAGGCCTTGCACACCTTTACACTTGACTCTGGTGCTTCCCGCTGTTTCTTTCGCGACAGTTTCGCAGTCACTCCCCTCCCTGCACCTGTTTCTGTCTCACTGGCTGACCCCTCTGGGGGCCCAGTGCTTGCACGGTCTTCCACCGTGCTTCCGTGTCCGGCGGTCCCGTCTGGTGAGCAGTCTGGTCTCCACCTCCCCTCGTTCTCTACGAACTTGGTGAGCAACGCTGTCCTCTAGGATGCGGGGGTTGACACCTTCACCCCTGGCCGGCAGCGTGTGGCGATTTACACGTGCTCCCGGACCGGCCGCCACCTGGCCACGTTCACTCGTGCGCCAGGGTCTACTCTGTACACCCTCACCACTGCGTCACGCTCCGCCCCTTTGTCTCCCCAGCTACACGCGTCTGCTCAGGTAGCTACCTAGTGTGAGTGTCGCCGACTGTCGCACGGCACTCTCCTGTGGCACCACCGCCTTGGTCACCCCTCCCTACCTCGCATGCGTTGCATGCACTCTCGCTTCCTGGTCTCTGGTCTTCCCAGGTCTCTGCCTGCCCTCCCTCCCTCGCCTGCGCCGCCCTGCATTCCTTGCGTCGAGGGGCAGCAGCGCGCCGCTCCTCCCTCCTCCTCGGTCCCTCCCACAGAGGCTCCACTACAGACTCTCCACCTGGACATGTGGGGCCCAGCCCGCGTCCGTGGACAGGGCCACGAGCGGTACTTCCTGCTGGTTGTCGACGACTACACGCGTTACACCACGGTCTTCCCCTTGCAGCGCAAGGGGGATGTCCCTGATCTTTTGATCCCCGGGATCCGCGCTGCTCGTCTCCAGCTCCGCGAGTGGTTCCAATCAGACTTTCATGTCCTACGTCTGCACTTTGACAGAGGTGGTGAGTTCTCCTCAGACCTCTTGGCGGCCTTCTGTGCGGAGCACGGCATCCACCAGACTTTCACGCTTCCGGCCTCTCTGCAGCAGAATGGGGTTGGTGAGCGCCGCATTCGCTTAGTCATGGAGGTCGCTCGTACCTCCATGATCCATGCGGCTGCCCCCCATTTTCTGTGGCCGTTTGCAGTCCGGTACGCCGCGCATCAGCTCAACCTTTGGCCCCGTGTCTCCTCGCCGAAGACCTCGCCCACACTGTTGTGGACGGGGAAGGTTGGCGACGCGTCGCGTTTCCGGGTCTGGGGTGCTCGTGCTTTTGTCCGCGATACCGCTGCGGACAAACTCTCCCCTCGCGCCATTCCTTGCATCTTCCTTGGCTTTGTCCTTGACGCGCTTGGCTGGCAGTTTTACGACCCCACCTCGCGCTGTCTCTTTGCGTCTCACGACGTCACCTTTGACGAGTCGGTCCCCTTTTACCGCCTCTTCCCCTACCGCACTGCTCCTCGCCCCCTCCCGCCGCTCTTTCTCGCCCCAGGTCCTCCCCATGTAGACCCCCTCCCTGCGCTAGGCCCTGCTCCTTCAGGTGTTTCTCAGGTAGACCCTCCCGTCCCTGCGCCTGTTGAGGTCACTGGTGACTCCGGTTCTGCTGGGAGTGGTGCTGTCCCTGGGGGTGCGGAGCTTGGGGGTGCGCACCGTGGGGGTGCTGAGTCTGGGGGTGCTGAGCTTGAGGAGCCTGAGCGTGCGGAGCCTGGAGGTGCTGAGCCTGCGCGTAAGGAGCCTGGAGGTCCTGAGCCTGGGGGTGCTGCGTCTAGGGGTGCTACGCCTGGGGGTACTGAGTCTGGGGGTGAGTCGCTTGAGGGTTCTGAGACTGTTGTTACGCGGTCTCCTTGGAGTAGCCGTCTTCGTCCGCGTGTGCCTCTCACCTCCCAGCAACTGCATGACTAGTACGGTCGCCGTCAGCGTCGCGCTTCTGCACCTCAGGGCTCTACTGCTGGGGGTTCTTCTGGTGGCATCACTGGAGCTGGGATTGGTGTCGGTCCTTTACCTGCTGGTGTCGCTGGTCCCGGAGGTGCTCGTACTGGGGGTACTGGAGCTACTGAGGCTGGCGGTGGCGTGTCTGAGGGTACTGCTGCTGGTGGCACTGCGGTTGGAGACCATGGGCCTGGAGGTGCCGGTTATGGGGGTGCTGCACCAAGAGGGGCTGGAGCTAGTGAGGGTGCTGGCACTGCTGGAGGTGCTGGAGCTGCTGAGGACGTTGGACCTGCTGGAGGTGCTGGAGCTGCTGGAGGTGCTGGAGCTGCTGGAGGTGCTGGAGGTGCTGGTGTTGGTGGCACTGCACACCCGCGCCTGTTCTTTGCTCCGCCGTCTCCGTCGTCTCTGCCACCGCCTGACTCTGTACTTTGCCAGGTTCTTAGCCTCCCGTCGTCTACTGGTCTTCTGTTACAGCCTGGCTCACCTCTGCCTGCTCCTTCTCCTTACAATGAGCAGACAGGGGGCCTTGCTAAGCTCGTGAGCCTGCGTCGCGTCCTGTCTCACCTGTCCGTTCTGGTCGTTCCAATCGGCGTGTTCCTCGTCAGCGTCAGCCGGCTGTTCCCGGCCCTTCCCTTGTAGTCCGTCGTCCTTCCTCTCCTCCGCAGCGTGTTCCTCTGCCGTCTCCTCCTGCGTCTTCTCTACCTATCGTTACAGACCCTAAGTTTGACCAGTTTCGTGCTGAGCACCCTACTGTCACGCGTCTGCTAGCCACTGTTGTCAGTGACCCGTCGTTTGAGTCTAGTGATGCGTCTGCCTTTGTCGCTGAGCTGGTTGACTTTGTTGCTGCCTATCGTCTAGACTACGCTGCTAGTCTTGTTGCTGAGTCTGAGTCTGTCTGTCCTTCAACCGTCGGGGGTGAGTGTGCTCTTGGCACGGACGTCCTTGAGGACAGGCAGGAGGACCTTGAGTGTCTTGCAGCCGCTACGCCTCATCTCGTGGCCATGCTGCTTGCCCCTGAGGGAGACCCGGATGCACCAGACATCCCGACCCCGCGTTCTTACGCTGAGGCGATCGCACGTGAGTACTCCTCTCAGTGTCCGACAGCCATGGACACAGAGATGGCATCCTGGAAGTCCACAGGCACGTACGTGGACGAGGTTCCCCCTCCTGGGACGAACATCGTCAGTGGCATGTGTTAGAGACTGAGGACGGAGTCTATGAAGATTAGTAGCCAAAATATCTCAACATCGTTGGGCCTAGTTTCTGAACAGAGAAGTCGAGTTCACAAGAAACGCTGTCGACGAAAAGTTCACAGTCAAAACTTCATCAAACTCGAATATGTTGTAGCTCTACTCCGTGGCTACAATTCCCAAGTTGAATCATGCGAAAAGGTGAAGTATTTCTTGAGCTATCAATTTCGGCGCACTAGGGGGTATGCTGCCATAACTCAATCACAAAGTTCACACAAGTTCACACAAGAGAATTGGAGTAGCACTAAACCAGGTGGAAGGGATGAGGAGGACGAGAGGGAAGGTCCCAAGAGAGTCCCCAACCAAGGAAACCCCATGCCATACAATTCCCTTCCCCATAGGCAACCCAACCTTGACCTTTGTCACTATCCCAACCTCCACAATCCACCTCAACCCAACTTGGCCACACTTGCCAGCCTGGTTTGGTTTCTCCCAACCATTTGGCAGCAACTACAGTAGAAAAGACGAATTTCCCAACCCTCAAAAGTCTGTACCCCATATTGAGTCAACCCCACAACTTCCCATAGTCACCACAACCAAATATCAAAAGCATACGAACTCCAACGTTCGTAACTTTCTTGTTCGAGCTCCGATTGAAGCGATACTTGGTTCCTCGGAAAGCTCTTGAGCAGAGGAGTCACTTCAGATATCTGCTCAAGCCAAATAACATTCACACACACACACTCAGAAAAACCAAACCGCACAAAACACAAATTTCTGCACACTCACAACACGCATGCAACGCACGAACATATGATGGGAGGCAGACAGACGTGAATGCGAATGGTAGCATCACTCAACAGCATGTGGATTTTCAGGGTAAAGCGGCCGCCAGGTTCTCCGCCTGTCTTCAAGACTCGTTACGTTGCTCGTGGTTTCAGTCAGCGAGAGGGAGTTGACTTCTTCCAGACTTTCTCCCCCACCCCGAAGATGACCACTCTTCGGGTGCTGCTGCACGTTGCTGCTCAGCGTGACTACGACTTTCACTCGCTTGACTTCAGCACAGCTTTCTTACAGGGCAGCCTGCACGAGGAGATCTGGTTGCGCCGCCCACTAGGCTTCACTGGGTCGTTCCCTCCTTGTACCCAGTGGAGCCTCCGGCGGCCGGTCTACGATCTCCGCCAGGCGCCACGTGTGTGGCACGACACACTGAGGACGACAATTGCGGCTCTTGGGTTTGCTCCTTCGACTGCTGACCCGTCGCTGTTTCTGCGCACCGACACTTCGCTGCCGCCATTCTACATCCTCGTGTACGTCGACGACTTGGTCTTTGCCACTGCTGACACTGAGGTTCTCGCCCTGGTGAAGTCAGAGCTGCAGAAGGGACACACGTGCACATACATGGGTGAGCCCCGCAGCTACCTTGGCTTGCAGATCACCCGGGACAGAGCACGCCGCACCATCACATTGACTCAGTCACACATGGTGCAGCAAGTCCTTCAGCGCTTCGGCTTCACCTGATCCTCAGCACAGCACTCGTCTGGCTACAGGTCACTTGCTCTCAGCTCCACCTTCGGACGAGTCCGTAGAGCCGAGTGGTCCTTCCCAGAGCTAGTGGGCTGCCTCATGTACCTGATGACCTGCACTCGTCCTGACCTTGCGTACCCTCTTGGCCTTCTGGCTCGCTACGTGGCTCCTGGTCGGCACCGAAAGGTGCACATGGATGCTGCTAAGAGGGTACTGCGCTACTTGTGCATTACATCGGGCATGGGGCTCGTGCTTGGAGGGCCTTGTTTTCCTCACTGGGCACTCAGACGCTTCTTGGGTTGACGACCAGGCTACACAGCGGTCGTCACAGGGTTACACGTTCAGCCTTGGCTCCCGCTCTGTTTCTTGGCGGTCTACACGCTCGTCTTCTGTTCTCAGCTCCAGTTGTGAGGCTGAGATCTACGCCACAGCCATGGCTGCACAGGAGTTACGCTGGCTCACCTACCTGCTGACCGACCTGGGAGAGCGGCCTCGTTCTCCTCCAGTTCTGTACGTAGACAACAAGGCCGCCATTGCCTTGTGTCAGGAGCACAGACTGGAGCACAGAACGAAGCACATCGCTATGCGTTACTTCCTAGCTCGAGAGTTGCAGCAGCGGGGTCAGCTTCGCCTTGCTCACATGGCCACTCGGCCCAACACTGCTGATATATTCACCAAGGCACTTCCGTCTGGTGACCATCAGCGCTTTTGTACTTTGTTGGGTCTTGTGCCTACGTTTCCACACTTGCTGTAGTCTCTGCTTGTACCGTATGGCCCCGGATATAGGCGCCGGCCTATTACAGGCGCCGGCGCTTCTATCTGGAGCATGGCGCTTATGGCCGATCCTCGATTATAAGCGCCACCCCTTTTGTACCCTTCCTTATTATAAGCGCCACCCTCAATATTAACACTTTTTTTACCACCACAACAAAAGCAAACAACAACTATAACATCGTTATCTTCAACGAATACTACAAGTTAGTACAATTTTAGACTTAGTCTGCTATTCTACCTAGGTACACAATTTTAGACTTAAACTGCTATTCTACCGGAACTACTCCTCGTCAGACTCGGGCTCCTGGCAGTTGTTGCCGAAGAATCCGTCGGCGATGATGTCGTCGTCTACATCCACTTCCGCCGTCAGTTGGCTCCGCCTGTGCGCCATGGCGAGGTGGTCCTCACTGCCGTCAAGCGCGTTGCTAATGCCGCAGGTGAGGAAGGCGCGCTTGACGAGGTCGGAGGGTACTGCTTTCCAGGCTTGTGAAATCCATCGAAGGACCACTTCTGGGGGGGGGCTTCTTCAGATTCCCTGCACCGCAACAGAGACACCTGGGAAAGCCATGTCAGTGACCAAGGGTGAAAGGGGGATAAACATGTGTGTTTAACGGAAACAACGCACCTGCAGGTGTCAGTTGCTCTTGGCCCTCCTCCTGAAACCACTTCTGGTACTGCTGACGAACAGATGCTTTGAAGCTCTTGTTGATGGAGACGTCGAGTGGCTGAACCTCACCCGTACAACCCGACGGGATGACAGCAGGCACGCAGTTGATCTCGCGGAGCTTCTCCTTCACCCCTTCGGTAAGGTGGCCGCGGTAGGAATCCATCACGAGCATAGAGCTCTTCGCACACCTGCCAAATCGGGGCTGCAAGAAGGGCTTGACACACTCCTCAAGCCAGCGGATGACGCCTTCTGCGTTCATCCACCCGTTCTCGTGGCAAGCCACGACCACATCTGCACACAGAAATGGCACTTAAACTTAGCGCGGCATGAGAAACGATACGATAAGACAGCGGCAGCTGCTACTTATTACCAGGAGGAAAGTTGCCCTTCGGCAGCGTCTTCCGCTTGAAAAATACCCACGGCTTGAGCTTCGCCCCGTCCGCCGTGCACGCCAGCATCACAGTCACACGCTCCTTCTAGTAACCTGCACTCCGGATGGGCACCGACCGTACGCCCGTCTGATCCACGGTCGTGGTGGCGGGCATCTCCAGCCAGAGCGGCGTCTGATCAGCGTTGAGGATCCAGCATGGCTCAATGCCGCGCGCGCGACGCATGTGTCGGACAAAACGCCAGAATTTCTGGCACTGCTCCGCAAGATCTGTGAGACGGGGGAAAGCGGGCGGGATAGACGGCAGTTTAGTAAGTGAACCTGAAACTTAGACATAAAAGCAAGGGGCGTAATCTTACGAGCGGTTGTTTTCTGAGCAACCCGCGTCTTCATGCGGACACTCAGATTCCACCGCTTCCGAAACCGCTCCGACCATCTTTGACTCCCGCTCCACTTGACGTCCGGGTAGAGGATCTTCATGAACTCCCTCGACCACTCCCGCAGACGGCCGACCGACACGGCGGTTCCTTTGCTGCGCCAGTCCAGGAGCCGCTCGTACACCTTCAACTCCATGGAGCGGTACCACGAGGCCCGCCCGCGACCGTGCATGCGCTTCCGCCCGGAGTGTGCTTCTTTGAGAAACCCCGCTGCCACCTTCCAGTTGGCGAGACACTTCCGGTGAATCCCACACTCCCGAGCTAGTGCGCGCACCGACTTCGCCACATCCAGCATCGCGACGTACTTCAACTTCTCCACAGCGGTGTAGCCTTTGCGCTTGTGATCGCTGATCTTGTGCCTGGGAGAAGGGGGGCGGGCATCACGGTTCTGGGTAGACGGGTGGGGTCGCTTGCGGTTAGCTGGTGGAAAGGAAGGTATCGGCAGTTCCTCGGGGAGCCCGTCACGTGACCAGTACTCGACACCGTCGTCGTCGTCGCCACCAGGTACGCCCTCAGGAAACACATCCTCAGCGGTGCCGCCCTGCGCGCCACCTTCCTCAGCCTCGTCGCCGTCAGCACGGCTCGCTTCCTCGTCCTCAGCCACGTCGTCGTCAGCTCCGAGTGCAGATTCGTCCCAAGTGGTACAATCATCGGGCCGGCCCCAACGTGGTCCAGGGTAAGGTGCGCTGGGTACCTCAACATCTTGGGCCTTGTTGCTTTCCGGTTCCTCCAGCCACTCGTCGAACGCAGTCGGGAGCAGGAGCGTGAGCACGGGCGGATCCCCTGTGTTGTGAGGACATCCTAGAATCGGAGGAGACGGAGGAACAGGAGGAGCAGGAGGCGCAGGCGGCAAAGGAGGAGCAGGAGGAGCAGGCGGCGCAGGAGGCGATGGAGGCTGTGGTGGCTCTGGTGGTTCAGGTGGGACACGGGAGTACCATCCGTCGGCGTTGACTACGAAGGCGAGCCTACGCGCGGGCTTCTTTTTGAACAAGAAATGAGTGCCAGCGAATTCCGCCATGGCTTCCGCAGCATGGCGGGCGAGACCAAGAATCTGAATGAAAAAAGTGGAAGAGAAGGCGAAGAAATGAGGGTTTGGAGGGGACCCCTTCTGGTGTGCGGCTCGAGTTCCTCTTCAGGCATAGTCAGATCCCCCCCTGCCTAAACCCGCAGAGGAGGGAATCGCGGCACGTATCTGCTGCGCTGGCAGGAATATGCCACCCCCTTCTCGAAAGTTCGGGTGAAATGTGGCACCCTGGCAGCGCATGTAAACCCTATTGGGCCGCACGCCAGGATGCACGTCATCACTGGCAGGTGCGTTGCTCCAGGACAGGTTCTGTGCGGTGGGAAATCGAGTCGCGGCAGTTTTCGCCGGAATTTCATGCACGATCCCATGCGCAACGTTCACAGTTGTGTTCGCCTTATTGTGGGCTTCACTTTAATACTTCGAAAACCAAAATTGGAATTTGACATTTTATAAGCGCCGGCGCTTATGGCCGTTCCTCAATTACAAGCGCCACCCCTAAAAAATCATTACTTATTATAAGCGCATATGCGCTTATATCCGGGGCCAAACGGTACTGTGATCTATATAGATATACCTGCATGCTTACTCTTGCTAGCTAGAGATCAATGTGCTGTTCTTGTTGCATATATACCTCTGCATGTGGATTGGCCTTGTGGCCGGTTGTTTGTGCTTAGTGTGTGTGGTGACGTTGTGACCGGCCCTGAGCTATGTTTTGTTTCTTCTTTTGAGTGGTCTTGTGACCGTTGCTTGCTCTGGCTAACCCCCATTTCGCCTATGGGGGTGTGTCAAAACATATGCATATCATTATCTAGGCTATATTGGGGCTAGCCTTAGGGGGTACAGAAACTTTCTAGACACTCTAACCTTGTACCCCAACCTTGACCTAGTCTCATCATTCTTGCCTTAGTTCTTAACACTCACATGCACGCCAGGCAAGCAGCACAAGGGGTGCCTCTCATGACATGCCTAGGCGTGGGTGGGGCCATAGAGACAACAGCTGGTTTGCAGGGTGACCATCTGGAGGAAGAGGAGGGTGTGAAGCGAATACATGGTCTCTTGCTGCCCAACCCCACTGGTTCATTTGGCCCCATTGAGGGATACGGTACCGTATCATAAGGAACCCTAGACCAATTTTTATACCTCCATGGACCCTGGTAATTAGACCCACCCTACAACATAGTGTGCCTCACCTGCCCCTCTGTGTGCCTCACCTGCCCCTCTGTGCCTCGTTTGTCCAAGGTGACACTCTGGCGGCCTGTTATACCAGTCGTTCTACCATTTCCTTTTTTTAACCAAGTGCTACTGTACATTGTGCCCAGGTAACTGCACCCACTCACACAGCACATTGGAAAATGTAAATGTTTCAGCGGTACTCCATTATTTCCAAGTAATCAAAAACAGCTATACACATGAGGCGTAAAAAAAAATGAAGCCAGGCAACACATTTAGCGGGATTGAATGAATGAATCACGTATGGTACAGATGAGCCTCAGCAGACGGGTCGGCACTTGTCCAGCTGAGGGCCAAAGGATGTGTGAGGTGCCGTGGGTGCATGGTGGCAGCAGGGGGCGGTGAGATCAGATGGCGCAGGCAACGGCCTTGACGAGGGCCACATTGCCCGACGTGGTGCTGCATGCACAGAGAGGGGAAACAGCACAGCAGAGAGCGATGAGTGTGAGCGAGAGGGGAAACAGCACAGCAGAGAGCGATGAGTGTGAGCGAGAGGGGAAACAGCACAGCAGAGAGCGATGAGTGTGAGCGAGAGGGGAAACAACACAGCAGAGAGCGATGAGTGTGAGCGAGAGGGGAAACAGCACAGCAGAGAGCGATGGGTGTGAGCGAGAGGGGAGGGCAATGGACCACCTTAGGAAAAGGACAGCTGCTGCTGGCATTCAGTGAGATGAAGCACAGGCGGGGGACAAGGGGCAGGGGGCAGGGCATGGCAGGGCATGGGGTGGTGGGGTCAGGGCGGGGGGCGGGGCACTGACGCGAAGTTGGTGACATCGCCGGCGGGGCGGTAGTAGCCGGTGGCGGAGCCGTAGCAGGAGGCGCTGGTCCAGAACCACAGCAGCCCGCACGACTGCTTGGGCGCCCCCGTGCTGTCCGGCACATTCCACAGCACGCGCAGCGACGCCGCCGCAATGCCGCCGGGGATGTCCACACAGCTGGCGCGTGACGAGTTGGCGGGCAGCCCTGTGCGCACGAGCGTGGGGCCCAGCGCGGGGGCCGTGCTGGTGTAGGACGCCGTGTTGTAGATGGCCAGGCTCGTGGCTGACACAGCTGCGGGCGTGCCCTGCACACACACGTTGCTGCCCAGGTACCACCCCGTGGGGCACTGGCAGAACGGGTACCCACTCCCGTCCACTGCACATGTCGCCTGTGCTGGGCACACCGCCCCCACACACGCCGGCGCTGCAAGCAATAGGAAGGGAAGGCCACAGGGGCGAGGGAGGGAAAGTGTGGTGTGAGGAAAGGGGGTGGTGGAGAATGGCGAATGATGAATCACAAGGGACGAATGACCAAGGGGGCGGAGTGGGCAGGCAGGGGAGAGGGGAGAGAGGGGCACTCACGGACGCAGGTGTCGGAGGTGATGGGCACGAGGCCGGTGGGGCAGGCGCACTGGGCGGAGCCGGAGGAGCCGTCACACACGAGGTTGCCGGGGCACGTGGTGGTGCCGCTGGCGCACGGGTCGGGCTGGCACGTGGCGTTGTTCACCAGCACCTGCCCCGCCCCACACTCACACATGGGCTGCCCGTACCGCACCGTGCATGTGGCCGTGGACGGGCATGCCACCCGGTAGCACGGGTCTTGCACTGTAGGGGAGGGAGGCAGAGAGGTGGGGAAGAGTTGAAGGGAGAGGTGGGAGCACGATGGAAGCACAGTTGGATCAAGTGCGTAGATGGGCGACAGTGAAGGAATAGGTCAGTGGGAAAAGCAAGTGTGGAGGGAGGCAAGGGCGTGGAGCACTGACCATAGGGCAGCTGGCCACCGTAGTTGCCGGGTGGGTAGTAATGGCACGCCCACACGTCCGCACTCGTGCCACACGACGCCTTGGCACAGCCCACGGTGCGCGTGTTGTTCCAAATGACCTGCAGGGAAGAGGAACGAGGGAGCAGATGACCGACGAGGCACAGCTGCATGGTGCAACACACAGCGTGCCTCTGCAAGCAGCACACCTCACAGCACCATCTCTCCACCTCCCTGAAATCCTCTTCCCCATGCAGCTCACCTGGGTGTAGTGGCCGCAGTCGGCCCAGTTGCCGGTGCTGCAGCCGCCAGAGAAGACAGCGTACGAGTACAGGTCGCCCTCGCCCACCCACCAGCTCACAGCCGCCGCATCTGATGCCCACCCAGAAGGGCTGGCGCCTGAGAGGTTCTGCCCCTCGCCGCTGTTGCCGCCGTGCGACAGCCCGCAGTTGTACGTGCTGTTCGTCAGCGCTGTCGCCCACGCCTGCGCCCTCGTTGCCACTGCGAGATGAGGGGGGCAGGAAGTGGAAGGAATGAGAATTGGGGTTTAAGAGGCGGCAGCGATGGGTGCAGGTGTGGAGAGGGGGTGAAGGGTGCAGGTGTGGAGAGGGGATGAGGTGCATGCAGTCCGTGCAGAGGGCGCATGAGAGCACGACAACCCAGTGCAAGCACACAGCAGTGGCCGTGCGTTGAGCGGCAGACGAATGCAGAATGGCGGTGGCAAGAGGCGGACACAGAAGCACGAGAGAGGCGGGCACTCACGGGTGGCGTTCCACACGAGGGGGATGGCGCCCACAGCTGCCCTGGCCGCATTGTGGTTGTCCAGATAGTTGGAAAAGGCCAGCGTCGCTGTGAGCGGGCGAGGCACGGCGAGCACGAGGCGTGGGGGGAGTTGTGGAGTGAGGGGAGAAGGGAGTGAAGGACTAAGGGAGAGCGCAGGAAAGGGATGGAAGCATGCACTTGCAAGCAGCAGGGAGGAGGGCAGCAGGACACAGGACAGGAGGGCAGGGAGGAGCACAACTGACCGTTGGAGCACTTGTTGTCAATGAGGCGCGTGTAGGGTGGAGGGCACGTGCAGACAGGCGCGCCGAGCATGTAGGTGCACTTGGAGACGTCGGGGCACCTCACCCCGTAGCACAGGTCTGCTCAGCACCACATGTGCACAGGGTGGAGAGGGTGGGGGGGGGGGAGAAATTGCAGAGGGAAGTGAGCAAGGGAGGCGGCAGGAGGGGCCAGGGAGGTGAGAGGACGAGGCGAGGAAAGCAGTGGAGTAGGGAGGGCGAGGGGGGTGCAGGGGGGCGGCACTGACCGGCGCAGTTACACTTGGCGACGCCATTGGCGGAGGAGCACGTGCAGTTGGCCGGGCATGTCACCAGCGAGCAGGGCGCGGCCGCTGGTGGGAGGGAAGGGGGGGAGTGGAGAGGGGGGAAGTGGTGTGCATGGTGAAACAGGGGGGATCAGAGAGAGTGCAGTGGGGAATGAGACAGGTTGTGGCAGCAGAGAACGGGCAGAGCTGGAGAGAGCAAAGGAAGGGAGAGGGAGGGAGGGGAGAGGCGATGGGCGTACGCTGGCAGGCGCCGGAGACCATGGTGTAGCCCACGGCGCACACACACGTGGCCACTCCATTCACGCTGCTGCATGTGGCCTTGGCGGGACACGTGGTCGACGCACAGGGGTCGGCTATTGCTGCATACATCAGGGGGTGCGCAGAGGGACCGGGGAAACAAGAGTTTGCGGCGGATGGACCAGGGGGAGGGCGAAACGAGGGGTTGGTGGGGATGGGTGAGGGAAGAAGGGTCGACACGCATGTGCGAGCGTGCATGTATAAGCAACACGCAGTGCAGGCATGGGCGCGGGGAGCGAGAAGGAGAGTAACTCACGTGCAGGCACGTGCAGGCATGGGCGCGGGGAGCGAGAAGGAGAGTAACTCACGTGCAGGCATGGGCGCGGGGAGCGAGAAGGAGAGTAACTCACGTGCAGGCACGTGCAGGCATGGGCGCGGGGAGCGAGAAGGAGAGTAACTCACGTGCAGGCATGGGCGCGGGGAGCGAGAAGGAGAGTAACTCACGTGCAGGCACGTGCAGGCATGGGCGCGGGGAGCGAGAAGGAGAGTAACTCACGTGCAGGCATGGGCGCGGGGAGCGAGAAGGAGAGTAACTCACGTGCAGGCACGTGCAGGCATGGGCGCGGGGAGCGAGAAGGAGAGTAACTCACGTGCAGGCATGGGCGCGGGGAGCGAGAAGGAGAGTAACTCACGTGCAGGCATGGGCGCGGGGAGCGAGAAGGAGAGTAACTCACGTGCAGGCACGACGCACTGGCCGTCCGTCATCTGGTAACCGGCGCTGCACGTGCACGTGGCGACGCCGTTGACGTTGGAGCATGCTGAGTTGGCGGGGCATGAGAATCCCGCGCATGGGTCGGGTGCTGGTAGGAGGGCGGCAGCGGGAGACAAGGCGGCAACAAGCGCGGAGGCGGAGATGAGAGAAGGGGGAGCAGAACAGCAGAGGTACTGAGTGGAAAACAGCCAAGGGAAGAGCAAGAAAGCAGCAGGTGCAGGGGGGAGAAGGGCGCGGGAAATGTGACTGACCTACGCAGGCGCCGTTGACCGGGTCAAAGCCGGGCAGGCACGTGCAGGTGGCGGCGCCGTTGACCACGGTGCAGTTGGCGTTGGCCTGACACGTGGTGCTCGCACACGGGTCCGGGGGGGGAAGCGCTGCTCGCAGGGGAGGGCGGAGAAAATAGAGGCGTGCAGGGGAAGGGAGAGGGGGAGAGGAAGGGAAGAGCGTCAGGCAGTGGGAAGAGTGGAGGAGGGCGGGAGGAAGGTGCAGCGAACGAGGGGGGGAACGCCGAGAAAAGGGGGAGGGAGGGAAGAAAGTTGGCGAGGGCAGGAAACAGCACCAGCAAAGGAGCAGAAGGGAGCAAGAGACGAAGCAGAGAGCAGGGGAGCATACCGGCGCACTGGCCGTTGACCATCTGGAATCCAGCAGAGCACGTGCACGTGGCGACGCCGTTGACGTTGCTGCACACCGAGTTGAGCGGACAGTTGGCCGTCGCACACGGGTCCGGCACTGCGAGGCGACGAGAGGCGGGGGAGAGGAGGGGAGAAGGGAGGGAGAGGGGAGTTAGGGAGAAGGGGGCGCAGGGGCAAGAAGGGGACAGACAGCAAACGGGACGGCATAAGATGAAATGGAGAGGGGAAGAGAGAGAGAGCGGGAGAGCCCATGGGGATCAGAAATTGCAAGGGGTGGGAGGTGATGGATTCGCCACGCTTGGTGCTCGCGCCGTTGAACGTGCAGCAAGGCACATCGCCGGCAGCACTCACCGCCGCACTGGCCGTTGAGCATCTCGGGAAGGAGAGACAAATGGCACGGAGAGACTGGAGGGTTGAATGGGAGAGGTGGTGATTAATGAGAAAAGTTGGACTCACCCACGCACTGGCCGTTGACCATCTGGTAACCACTGTTGCACGTGCACGTGGCAACGCCATTGACGTTGGAGCATGCTGAGTTGGCGGGACAGCTGTAACCCGTGCACGGGTTGGGCACTGGCGTTTGGGAGATGGGAGAGCAAGGGATAAAGCAGCGATTTGGCCGGAGGCAAGCGAGAAATTGGAGGTGAGGAGAGGAGAACGGGGAAGAGAGAGAGGGAGAGAGTGGAGATGAGGAGTTGGAGAAAGTGGAAGAGGTGAATGGGAACAAAGAAAGAGGGGTGGGGAAAAGGAGGGATGGGCACTGGTAAAATGAGAAGAATGGAGTTAAACTCACCAACGCACTGGCCGTTGACCATCTGGTAACCAGTATTGCACGTGCACGTGGCGACGCCATTGACGTTGGAGCATGCTGAGTTGGCGGGACAGGTGTACCCCGTGCACGGGTTGGGCACTGGTGGGAGCAGAAGGGGGAGAAGGCGTAGAAAAGAGTGAGGACGCGGATTGCAGGGAGCCCACACCGCATTGCACCGCACTGCCAATCACGACGCTGACTCACCAACGCATTGCCCGTTGACCATGGTCAACCCAGCGTTGCACGTGCACACGGCGGCACTGTTGACCACGGAGCACGTGGCGTTGACGGGGCACGTCGTCACGGCGCAGGGGTAGGTGGGTGTCGCGATGGCGGCTTGGCACGAAATGGACCTGGCGGTCGCGATGATGCCGCTCGTCGCCCTGCACGCAGTCAACGCGGTCAACGCATCCAGAGTCAGTCAACGCGGTCAACGCAGCCAGAGTCAGTCAACGTGGTCAACTTAGCCAGAGTCAGTCAACGCGGTCAACGCAGCCAGAGTCAGTCAACGCGGTCAACGCAGCTAGAGTCAGTCAACGCGGTCAACGCAGCCATAGTCAGTCAATGCGGTCAACGCAGCCAGAGTCAGTCAATGCGGTCAACGCAGCCAGAGTCAGTCAACGCGGTCAATGCAGCCAGAGTCAGTCAACGCGGTCAACAGCAAGCATGGAAGCAGACGAGGAGTGTCAGTGACCGAAAGGCATGCGAGTGCACAGGGAGCGGCAGCGCGCAGGGCGCGCGGGCGTGTGGAGGGGCGGGGAGCGGCTCACGAGACGCTAGTGGTGGTGTAGGTGAACTTGTTGGGGTCGACGGTCGTCCACCCGCCGGGGATCTGATAACCCGACCCGGAGCAGCAGCAGTTGGGTTTGTCCCAGAAAAACAACTTGCCGCACACCAGGTGGTCCGCCACGCCGTCGTTCACGTTCCACATGATGCGCACCGACCCTATCGTGCCGTTGAACGCCGCCGGCAGGTTCACGCACGCGCTCGAGTTCGGCGCCGCGCCGCGCAGCACGGCGGGCGCGAGCGAGGTGGGCGTATTGGCGTATTTGGCCTTGTTGTAGATCACCACGTTGGTGCCGACCTCCGCCCAACTGGCGGCCGGCGCGCATACGCCGTTGATGATGGCCTGCCCCGCCGCGCACTTGCAGAAAGGGTATCCGCTGCCGTCCACCGCGCACGTCGCGCCGGTCGGACACACCACGCCCGCGGGGCACGACGCTGAGAAGGCAAGGGAAAAAGGGAGGGGGGGCAGGGGCGCGAGTTAGTTGCTCCGAAGAGTTCCGCCCGTATTATTCGCATAGATAATGCCGCGCGAAAGACGGGCGCGCTGACCTTGCAGCTCGCGACGGCTATTCGCGGCGGCGAGGCGATGCGAAGCTAGTAGTAGACATGCGTGCAGCAGAAGCAGAAACGCGCCGCCCTTCATTCTCTCAGTCCTTGGTCGATTGTAATGCGGTAGTGGTGCGATGTGCGCTCGGAGCTGCTGGTCAGAGTAGCGAAGCAGACAGGACTGGGAGATGACTTTATGGAATTGTGGAATTGCTGGATGACGATACTGCATGACTGGTTTGAAGCTCCCTCTATTTACAGATGGGAGGGGAGTTCCCGATCTGAAATACGTGTACACACAGTGAGCACGTTACAGTTTGTTGTAGAGATGGGTAAAGCGCTTGGCATTCCCACTTGGACGTGTTGTGCGCATTTCGACGGGGATTGTGGATAGGGGCAAGGGGTGAGAGCTTTCCGACGCACACGTACAGTAACACTGCCCCGTTTCATGCTAACGGCCAGGTCAGACCAACAGACGGCTCCGTTTTTCCTCGCCTGTACGCGAGGTTGTTGGATCAGTGCCCTGCCCTGCGCAGCGCGTTGCATTGGTTGATCGGGTGTGACTTGTGGATTCCCAATTCCGATGAGGGCCAAATGCTGCTGGTTTCGTGTCGGGCGGGGACGGGAACGGGTCGGAGAAACGAGGTGTGCATGAATTTGGTGGGCGCAAGTGTAGTGCCATGGAGGAAAGATTGTCGCATAAGTACGGAAACTCAGGAGCTAGGTCCATTTTCCAGAAATACCTGACATTCTGTGTACACTCCTCTGCGCAGCAGTGTCCCCGCAACAGCATTGTTAGCCAGGTCTGGAACACTAATCAAGTCAGCCTTGATGTCGATAGATTAGGGGTACAGTACATCGTTGACATCTCCGTGCAGTCGCGGAAAGGAAGCGTGGGAGAAACAGAGAAATTTGAAGCATTGGCAGCTCACAAGTGAGGGCGTGTCCGAAGTGACATGTCAACGGATGTCGATGGATGTCGACGGATGTCAGGGTAGTAGGTGAATTTTAAGGCCAGCATTGTGTCCGAAGGGATCTGACATCCATCCGACATCCATCCGTCATTCAGCTCTGTGTAATCATTGCCTTCAAAGGGTGCCGCCAACGTGGAGGTTGACCAACCAAATTATTGATAACAGAATCTGAGGGGAACCATGGCGAAAGTATTTCTGGGTAAGCGACAGCCCTTCGTGACTTGTACGGGGTGACGAAACAAGTTTGCGAAATTCGTGACTCAAAATTGAACCTTCAATATTCTCTCTGGTCTGCCCTTGCCGGCGCCAACAGTGCCGGCCTGCATTTTTTTGGGCAGTTATGTCGCCGGCATTGTGTCCGAAGTGCCTCGACATCCATCTGACATCCATCCGTCATCCCCTGTCATCCGCCACCGTTATCCATTGGATGACGGACGGATGTCGAGGGTCACTTCGGACCCGCCCTAAAAGCTGGTCCCTGGTAGCTGTTTACACAAATATTTTTTTCGAGTCAAGTGGAATTCTGTTCAGACATAGGTGTGCAATGAAGCTCTCATGCGCGGTCAGCAAAGAAACCCCATTCAGCCCCTTCGCCACAAAACACTGTCCGCAAACGGGATGTGATCCACACACATCGCCGTGTACAGAAGACAGACATGTGCGCATTGAATGCCGACTCGTCAGCAGCATGATGCACGTAACGTGTGTTCCCGTGTTCCCTTGCAGCAAGACCTGTAACGCTTCCTGTTGGACGTAAATGGCGGCGTAGCGGATGCTGAAGCAGTTGCTGCTGCGACTCAGGGTGGTTGTTCCTGGCTTGTTTTGCGCATGCCCCTAAATAAACGAATGTCAATTTCGGATGTTCTGTTCTATTGAGGCAAAAACTTCAATGCAAGCTAATACAAGCTGTTGTACTATTGGAAACAATTGATTCTAAGAGCCTCTGTCATGTCAAAACACCAAGTCAGAAGCGAAGCGAAGTATATCGAAGCACCGGCGAGTCAACCCTCGTAGGTTGAGCGGTTGCTAGAGGTTACGCGATAGTCAAAGGTCAGCGACCTTTGACCTGACAAGTACAGCACGACAACAAGGACAGACAACTGACTCGTTACAGAGCAGTTGCCCGAGTCGTCACTGTATCGAACCGCAACAGCAGTAAAGTAGTTGCAACCGTATCTCTTCGAATTCCTTGTACTCTTATATAATCTTGTATCTCTTTGCTTTAATCAATCAACTTTGCCCTCACATACTAGCGCAAGGTGGTTCACAACTCTTCATTAAAAAAAAAAACACTTCCGCTACTACATCAGTTCTACCCGGAGTTCACCCTTGCAAAGATCATAAGGGCTATTATTCTCAGCCCAACAAGGTATGAGAGCAACTAGGGGGAACTCAACTACTATCAAGTTATCTATAACGTCAGAATACATGGCAACACAAAAAGAAAGGAGCTCCTCCAACGGCTCCCCTGGTACTACTCCTACTCCACCTCTTGCCTCAGGCCTACAGACAGAGGAGGGTACGGCAACAAGACCAATGGCAACATGTACCGGAACTCCCACAAACCAAGCTGCGAGCTTCGACCCAAGCATGATGGAGAAATTCTTCTCCTTCATGTCCTTCTACGAACAGCACCAGCAAGGAGCACCTGCGCAGTCAAACAATAGCAACAACAACGACGACGTGACGCCCATGAGCCTCGACGGGTCATCCTACGCGCGAGGAAATCAACAGCAGCAGCCTACCTTTGCTCCGTACGAGCCCCAGCGCGGTTCTGTCAGCTTCATGCCGCGCCAGCAGACTTCACCTGAGCAAGAAAAGACATTGGACGCACTTCAAGTTCAGCCGCAGTTTGCACACATCCTGAAACTGCAGACATCAAGACCGTTCGACGGAAATACTTCTTCACCTGGTCATTCGAATTCGAGCTGATGATGGAGGGCGCGCAGATTCTTGGCTTCTTCGACGGGTCCCTGCCATACCCAGCTCACGAGACACAATATGACAAGCAGCAGTACACCTATCAGTCAATGATGGCGTACACAATTCTACTACAAAACGTCACGCCAACCCAACAGCAGAACATCCGGTCTTATCGAGGATCGGGCAACTCCGCTGAGCTTGCATACAACCACCTGAAGAACCTGTATCAAGCAACAGACAGCATCAACCAAAGTCAGTTAATGGCACAACTGACAACAGTGGAAATGAAACCGGGCGAAAAGGGGATGGCGTATATTAGTCGCTGCCGCGAATTGCGCGACAATCTCCTTCGATGTGGAGGATCGATATCAGAAGACGCCTTCGTCACAGTTGTTATCGGCGGTCTTGATCCACACTGGCGCTCCACTCGCGCCATACTCTGAGCTCACGGGAAGATCTCCGAAGCAGCACTCTGCGCCAAAATTCACGCCGAGCAGCAAGACATGGACCTGCAAGAGGAGCGGCACAAGAAGAAAACGCCAGTTCCCGAATTTGCGTTTCACACTCAACGGCGCTACAACAACAACAACAACCGGCATCAACCAAAATCCGTACCTTCGTTTTGTCATCTCTGTAAGACCTCGGGACACCCTCGCACACACTGCCCGAATCGACAGCAGTCAACACCACCGCAACGCCAGCTTCGTCCTTCGAGCAGTCAAGTAACGTCCACGCAAGCGAACCCCACAAGTCAACTGCAGTCCTCAACGACATCGCCGTCAACACAACCTGCACAAGGAGCAAGAAATATCGTCAGCTGCATGGCAAGATTGTCAGACTCCTGCATGACTGAATCACCACCGTACTATTCACCAGAAGAACAACTCGAAGAATCCACTCCTCGCTGCGAGACACTGGAGCCGAACCCAACATACGCAGCCATTGCCCAAAGTGAGCCGTCCGGGAAAGATACTGGGTTCTTGGATAGTTGCTGCGGGCAGCACATGTGCTCTTCGGGACGTTTCGTTCAGCGCGAGCACCAACTTCAACGCAAAGTCGTCATTACCGTCGCCAACAATCAGAACCTGCGCATACGACGACAAGGTGTGGTTCAAATTCAGTCAAGGGAGACAAACGTTATACTTCAGATGTCAAAGGTATTAATCGCGGAGGGACTCGGCTACAACTTACCGAGCGTCAGCCAGCTGATGGCGAAAGGCATCCACCTCGAAGCAGATAGCACCACTCAGGAATTCAAGTTGTACCACGGAAGAGGAGGTCTCGACATCGGCAAGGCAGTCCTGAAGAACAACGTCTTCGTCCTCGACTTCGTCCCAGACCTTGGCACAGCTGACAGCGACGGGATCGTCACCTTCACCTCCTGGACACATCCACCGGACCTCGACCCCGACTTCAGTCCCGAAGGCTTCTGGTACTCGCATACCATTCTTGAGGCGGAGCGAACAAGAGCATTAGCAACGATACAACAATCGGCAACAGCAGAGACAACACCAGCAGCAGCAGCGACAACATCGGCAGCAGCAGAGACAACATCGACAGCAGTAGAGACAACACCAGCAGCAACAGAAACAACTTCGGCACCAATCGCGGGTCCTTCAACTGCACCAGCCCCAATCGACGATGACACCCCACCGACTCCTGCGCAGCAGTTGAGCCCAACTCCTCGAGAAGTTCACCGAAGTGCGAATATCACCGCCAGTTTTTATTCCAACTCCGACCTATACAGACGCTCACCCGGACATCGCGCCGACGAAGATCTCTGGCACAAAAGAATGGGACATCTGATCAACACAACGTTAAACAACACGATACGAACAGACGTTCTTGACAAAGATTCACTACTCCTACCCGACGGCAGAGAACTTCGACGAATGAGAGGAACCTGCTTCACCTGCCCAGAAGCTGACTTACCGCATCACCCCTTTGTCTCTCACCACAACCCGAGCGCACCAGCTTACGCACCACTTGAGAAAGTGTACAGCGACATCTTGTACAATCACGAACCTGGACAAGAAGCATACAACTACACCATCACGTTCATCGACGCCGCCACTCGTTATGTCTGGCATCTCAACCTTCCAAGCCGCGACATGGCTTTCGAAGCCTTCATAGCCTGGCTCCCAGTAGCAGAACGGGAATCGGGAGTTAAGCTGAAGAGTTTCCAGTATGACGGAGGAGG